AAAACAAAACCATCAAATATACCTTGAATAACAAAGTAATCAGCGAGTTTCCCCTATCTGATTTGTTGGGAAGCAGCTGCAACAAGAAAAGTCATAATCCACAACTAATCAATGGGAAGGTAACAACAACTATTCTTCATTACCTTCCACTTCTTTCATTGCCCTTCTCTTCTTCATTACTGTCGTCTGGTGCATTTACCCTGTAGATACGAAGTCAAACAATGAGATAGAATTACGTCAACATAAGATTCTACAAATATGTCTTTCAAGTCAGTCTTCTTCATTACCCTCTTCTTCTTTTACTATCACTCTCTTCTTCATTACCGCCATCTGGTGCAGTGACCCTGTTAATAGATACACAATCAAACAATGAGATAAAATTAGCATCAACATAAGATTCTACAGATAAACTAATATATATATGACTGACTTTCAAGTTACTTTTCTTCATTACCCTTCTCTTCTTCTTTTATCACCATTCTCTTCTTCATTGTCCTTATCTGGTGCAACTACCCTGTCAATGAGTGTATCCAAATAATGAGAGTCACATAGCAATAAGTGTCATGCAATTTAGAACCTATACTATCCAAACTTATAAAAGCTCGGAAGCTTACGACATTGGTTGAATGACTCATTATTCAAAGTTTTGATGCTCAGTTCAGCAATAGGAGCCAACATTTAACAAAGAATTTTGTTTCCTGTCATCCAAATAACCGAAACCACAGCTGCCACGCACCAAACAGCCCCAAAGACCTTTAGTCTTCTTTCATCCTCCAAAACGGCTTAATATTTTCACAACGCAAAGAAAAACTGGTCCTTGGAATTACCCAACTCACATTAGCCAGTCTGAACAACTTGAGGCACAAACTTAAAAATGCTATTTGGGCTGACAAAGCAAAAAGAAAAGTTATGCATTTAGTTCGAAACTTCTTAGTCTACTGTCAGTCGTCTCAAGCAGAGTAGACGTGTCGATGTGATTGCAAAGAGATAATTAATAGCATGCTGACTTCTCCATATATATATATATATATATATATATATATATATTACTTATAGTTTAAACTCTCTGGGTTGTGATCGGAAAGATGGCACGACACAACAAACAACACATGCAGCTAGATTGATAAACATAACAACTAATTAGCATATGCATATTAAGGGACGTTACTTACAATCCTGCTGTGCAATTCATCACCATGTAAGTGGTTTCATCTAGATTGCATATTCCACTTGACAGCAATTCAGCCTTTAATATATCACCACCATTAGGGGTAAGTATCTTGAATTTGCACCAATGAATTTGACAAGAACTTACATCGTTGTCGTAGATGATCATGCGATCCCATACCAAACCCAACTTGTGGTGGCCATTCTCGACTCCAACTTTAACCAACGACAGTGGAACCCACCATGGCTTTAATGGGTCTACAGGCTCATCCGTAGGGACATGGACATCTCCACCGTCATATGGACCCTCACTGGGAAGGACTGTCTCAAGGCCAAGGTCAGGGTCAAAATTTTCAAGGCCTACCTCATTTTTCAGGCCCTCAAGTGGGCTGGACAACCATCTACGAGCACGAATATCAAATGCATAAACCCCTGGTCGAGCCTTAAAACCGAGGGATGCTGTATCCGATGATGGGTTTTGCGTTCCAAGGGAGAATAAAAGCGAGTCGTCAAAAAGTATCACCCCAGGGGACCATACACCCCAAAATCTGTCGCAAATGACGTCCCAGCGGTTGGATCTCAAATCTATGGAGTACATGGTGTTATAACCTAACATGGTGTAATAAACCAAAATTTTACTCGTAGTAACACCAAGCATATGTACGTCTCCTGTCAGGCCTTCCTTTTTTGGCAACTTGGTGGAGTCGCCACTAGGATGATTCACACGGTAGAGGTTATCTCCCGAAGTAAAGATCCAGCCATCCTCTCGAGCAATAGCCCCTCTTTGTCTGTCGCTATTAACTCCGCCCCCAATATGCCAGATCGGCGTCGGAGTAGCATCCAAGTCAATGTACCTCAACCCGACCCTACCGACTTTATTTGTGTCCCCAATGGTACCGCCAATGAGGTACAAGCGGCGGTTCAGGGCAACAAGCCTACTGAAGTCGATCCAGTCCAACCCTTCGCCCCCCAAAACTCTGCAGATTGAGTTGTCGGACTCTGTCTCTTTCGCTCTCACGCAGCACTATAATGTTCCTCCCTTCGTTGTTGTTATCATTTTCTGCCGTCGCCGCCGTGGATTTCCTTTCAATAACGTACCAAAAAATCGTTTCATCTGCCCTAACCATCAGGTATATTGGGCTTTCAGTTTCGGTTGGCATCACCATTGTTCTCGCTAAAAAAACTACCAAGAAACATCAACCAAGAAAAAGAAATTAGTCTTCTTGAATTACAAGAACATAACAGAGAAATGCAGGAAATTCATTTGCTTGCTTGCTTCATGTTTTGCTCAACCCACTGCCAGTTTTATGCCATTTTCACTCAAACAAACTATAAAAGCCATTAACATGCAGAACAAGCAAGGCAATAGAAAATAGATAAATATGGAAACCACCAAAATGGGATTGCATAATCTCCTCTGTCCAACATAAAGGAAAAGCAAAACCGAACAGAGCAAGAAAAAGAATTAACAAAATAAATGCAATCTCTCAAAGAAAAGATTGCAAAAGAAAAGGGTACCTCAGAATTTCACTTGGGCTCCTCTAAGTACGATTCCTTCCCCAAAAGTTAAAGAAAAACTCGGATCCTGAAGACCAAGAAAATACATAAGCGACCAAGAAAATGCATAATCAAAGAAAAAAAACCGCAATAATCTTGAACATAGTGACTAAAATAACAAAAGGTTCCAACTTTTCAAAGGATTAGCAAGATTTACAAGTTTCTTACCAAAAACATAGTGAAACAATGAACTGAACAAGCCAAAAGGTAGAAATGCAGTGGTCTTCCAAAACCCAGAAGACCAAAAACAAAATTTCAGGGGTGAGGTATCATAGGTAACAGTCCTATCATCAATAGGAAAGGGAAGGTTACCTTATGGTGACAGAAGAAGAGACTCTCTTCAACTAGCAGGAAGAGATTTCCAGCCCAAGAAGGAGGAGACGAGGAGACAAGCCGACGACAGAGACGAGCGCTGGCGTGTTTTCTTCGTCAAGTCTCTCTCTTTCTTGGTTGTGAATTCTCAGCTCACGTTTTGGCAAAAAGAATAAAAGTTCTCAGCTCACGTATAATTGTGTCAAACGCTGGTCGTAAATGGGTCAAAGTTCGTTTTATATTCTCCAAGTTAATTTTGGTACCTCTCCGTACGGTACCTTGTCCTAACATGCTTAATTAAACAATTAATTAAGGGTTTAGGATTTAATTAAACAATTAAACAATTGTTTTTTGGTCAACATTAAACAATTGCTGAATAATTGGTTTTCCTTTTTACTTTTTTGGCTTATCCTCAAATAAAATGGAAAAAGAAAAATCCTCTTGCTGCTCTTTATTAAGCTCAATGAAAACTTTAATAATATGGATATTTAAGATTAGTTTAATAGTCTTTCTCTTCACATTATTAGGGGAAGGTTTTGTCCGTATATGTCGTACTAATATTGGGATGACTCATTTACCATTTTTTCCTTTATATTCTTTTTTCTATTTAATCTAATAAACTTGTATTGGTTTTTTAATTTTTAATTTTTATCAAAAGAAGATTATGTTGATAGTCTGTGAATCTCGCCACAGAATGAGGGAAGAAGAAGTGTCACTGCCCCTTCTCCCCCTCCTCTCTTTAGTTTTTCCCTTCCACTGTGCATTTTTCCTTTAGGCTATGTTCTCAATCAATCATTCTTTCAAAACCCACACTCTAATAATGCTCATGTTCTCTAAATTTGTTTCTACATCGTCTTTGATGAAATCACCCAATTGTTCTTTCACATGGTTGTTTATTTCATTAATTTGTTTGCTCTAATGCACAAGTAGATCATTGAAAATTATATTTTTCCCATATCTGTTACGGATGCAATGGTGGGTGTGGTCACAACGACACTTCATCATGTGGTGGTGGTAGGGTTCATTTAGGCTCATGGATTGCTTTAGGTTCATGTTGGGTTTGTGGGCTTTTTTTGGGCTTATGGTTAATTGTGGTGATGTGGGCTAGTAATTTTAGTGAGACTTGTCCAATATAGTTTTGTTTTTACCATGTTAGTTCATTACCCTCTTGGGATTTGTACTTTAGATGTCATATTGATGTTTGTACTATTGAAGTTTATATTGATGATAATAATAAAAAAAGATTACGTTGATATAAAAAACAAAAACACAACACATTTAGAAAGAACCTCTCGGCCAACGGGGTTTAGCCAAGTGGAAAAAGGTCTTGACTTGTAGACAAGAGGTCTCAGGTTTGAACCCCCATAACATCAGTTGTGCGTGTGTGAGAAACCTCTTCCCCTCTAGTTTAGACTATCGCTTGTACTTTAAAAAAAAAATTATAAAAAAAAAACCTCTCGCTCTCTCAAACTTAGGGTTTAGGGTTCAGACAATCATCATCCTTTCAGGCTTCAGACAATCATTATCCTAAATGGCAAGCATGGGATATGTCAGATGATGAATATTCAGTATCATCAGGTGTGGTTGATTCTCATTATTCGAATGGTGTCAGAAAGTTCAACAATCCTCATTTTGATGGAAGAGTCAAGCTAGACAAGAACTCTAGATCCCCTGCCTTATCTAGTGTTGGCAATGAAGGAACATCTGTTCGGACATATGGGGATACAAGGGTAACAGGTCAAGAATTGATATCTACCCCAGTGAATGCATATAGAGAATGTAGTCTAATGCAAAATAGTTCTGCATATGGCACGTTGGAGCAAAGACTACATTATATACAAATGACCATTGATTTTCTTGGTATTCATTCCCCTGAAGAATCATTTCTACATGATATTTCAGCAAATGTGTCAAGTTATAAAAGCCTAAAGTTAACTAGGAGCTGGAGTTGTAGAGAAAATCTCATGACTGGCTCATCTTCTCCAGATAAATCGGAGAGAACCCCACCTAATGGGTTTGAGAAAAGCTTTCTTGGGAGACCAGAAGGTTTTGGGAGGAAGGTTCCTCTATTACATTATGATTCCAATAGAATGTTGTCAAGAAATGATTCTCAATCTTCCCTTGGGAGTGCTATGGATGAGCTAGGAGCATAGACTGCCGATGAAGATATTACTAGTGTCCATACTTTTGTTGCAGCCTTGCAAGACTTAAGAAAATAGCCAAAAAGCTTGAGTATGACAAACAACTTTGTTGATGTTCTTTTTGGGAGGTCAACTTAGAGAGAAGTGGATAGTCTTCAGCAGGGGGGAAGGTGAGTACCTTCAGCAAGGGAAGGGCCTGCAGAAGACAAAGTAGGAGAAGCAGTCGTAAGCTTCGGACACCGGTGTGGTGCCGGTCGAAGGCTATCTGATGCTTAAGTCAGCTATGAGTGGTAAAATTGGCAGAGGAACAATAAAAGTGAGAGAGAAGTTACTCTTTTTACTTGGGTACTGTTCCCTATTTATAGGGAAGTGAAAGTGGGAGGTTTGCACAAAGTTTCGATGTGGGACTTTGTGCAAGGTGTTGTGGTGGTAACACGTGTCCTTGGAGATTAGGTTCGGCAGTTGGGAGCTTCGGCAGGTGGGAGCTTCAGTAGTCGGGAGCTTCGGCAAGTGTCTTGCACCTCGAAAGAGTGTCTTCCTTCGGCAGTGGAGAAGGCATGTCTGTCTTGGTGCTAGTCGTTTTGAGGCTGGATATGCTCGGTTGATTATGGTGTAAACAGTAGTCCCCCAAGTTCCCGGTCAAGAAGTAACTTTTGGGTTTGGAACTTGTGAAATTTTTGTGTAATCATGACCGAGCATTCCAGATTCTGTGGGAGCCGTAGGGCCCTAGTCTCCTAAGTTGGCAAGCTAGAAGTTGTGTCAACACTTGGAAAGTATGATAAAAGCTGTGTGCGCTTCTAGAATTGTTGGTAGCTGGGTACCTGAACTTTCAGCAAGGAGAAAGAAGAATGTATGAGCTTCCCGAACCCTTGGTAGCTAGGTACCTGAGTGTTTGGCGAAGAGGCCAGGATTGAGCTGCTGGGGGTTAGGTAATTGTGAGCCATAGTCGGATCAATGGGTTGGGCCATTGGGTCTCGGCAAGGTGTAATAGTTTGTAGCTGGGGTTGAGCCAGAGCTAGGCTTCAGTTGGGGAGTGTTTGGAAGGCTTGAGCATGGGTTGAGGAAGACATGCGTGAGATTTTGGCAACAGGGGCCCTACCGTTTGACAGGGTTGATGTACGAAAAATTCTTGAAAAGCGCCTTACTAACTTTGAACAGCCTTTGTGGTTCGGCAATGCTAGTTTCCCTTTTTTTTGCCTTTGGGCTTCTATATGTTTTGGCCCGGAGCCTGCCGCTCGACAAGCAGGCCCGGTTGGTGTATTGGCTTGACCCCCGAAAGCATGGAGTTTGCATAGGGGGGCTTAGGGTATGGGTTTGGCTGAACCATAATTGGGCTTCGGTAATGGCATGGAGGCTGTGAGCTAGGCCTTCTGTAAGAGCTGGGCCAAGTCCAATGGGGTGTAGTTGGGGCTAGGGTTTGGAGGGCAAGTATAAAGACACTTTGTGCCATTCAGCAAGATCAAATGAGCATATCGTTCTGCAGGGCGTGTTGTCTTAAACCCTTTTCGGTGTCGAGTCCTGGCCATTTTCAACAAAGATGCCGATTGGTAAGGGATGGGTTTCAGCAATTGGTGTCCATAATTTATACATAGGCTGTCGTTCGTCAAGTTGGAATTCTTGGAGGAAATTTTCTGGTGCTCTTCGTTCCTTCTTCACGACCCTTGCCATTCGGCAAGGGGTGGGTGAAAGATTTGTGAGGACTACATCAGTGGTTTGGGGATCGGGTCCTTCGGCAGAGATCGGGTTCTAGCGATTGAGAAGGGGACTGGAGTACAGAGTAACTTCGGTAGGGTCAGCGACGTGATTTTCGTGAGTTCCCAAGCTTCGGCAAGGCTGGTTTTGAGAGGTGGGGCTGCTCGAGATTTTTGAGGGAGTATAGTTTGCGCAACGCATGGCTCTTGCCATTCGGCAAGCTTAACTTGGAGCCTTCATTTTTGTTTCCCAAGCTTCGGTAAGATAGTGGTGTCGACAAGAATTGGTTGAGCACGAGCTTCGGCACCGTTCGGTAATTGTTCTTGGAAGGGGTTCTTCCAATCTAGAACCGCCTAGGGTGTGGGTCCTTGACTGACGGCAAGGAAGGAAGGGATTGGGCTCACAATCTTGAGTCGGGCCTTCGGTAGGAAACTGTTGGGCACTCTTTGAAGCCCCCTATCTTCTGCTCAACCCTTGTCGTTCGGCAAGGGTGGCTTGATCAAATTTTTTGAGGCCCTTTGTGTTCAGAAAATTGGGGATCTAGTGTGTTGTCTTCGGCAAGAGTGTCTTGGTGAGAACCAGTTTTTGTGAGCCCCCATTTGGTTATGCACGATGCTTACCGTTCTTGAGGGATTATTGGAGCTGTGATTTCAAGGTTTGGCTTTTGTGACCTTTAAATTTCTGTTTTTGTCTTCGGCCACCTTGAGCTTTGTGTTTTATTTCTTTGAGCTCCTTCATTTGGTCTCATAAGTTGAGAAAGGAATTGGGCCTTCGCTACGGGGCAATGGAAGGAGGGGTTGGGCTAAGGGTCAATTTGGTGCTGAAGCGTTGGCGCAAGCACATGACCGTGGGCACCGAGTGTCCCCTCTCGATCTGAATAGTGCTTGCTGTTCAACAAGCTAAACTGGGTGTACCAATTTCATTCGGCTAGACTAGGTGGAGGTTCAGTTATAAACTTTAGGCCTCAACATGGAGTGAGGACTTGGGAGCTGATCTTGCTTCGGCAGTAAGAGTAAGTGGTTTTGAGCCCATGTTCTTTACGCACGGGCCTTGCCGTTCGGCAATGTCTTCCCAATTCCTTGCTCCGTATTATTTTTTGAATTTGAATTTGGAATTTGAATTTCAAATTGTGGAGCATGTACAAGGAATTTGAAAGGGAAGGTGAAAGGGTGCTAAGGTTTTCTCATGAATTGAGGCGTTGGTACCTTTGAGGCTTTATAAATAGGAGCTCTAGGTGGAGAAGGCAAATATACTTGAGTCTTGAGAAAATTTCTAGAAAGTGAGAAGGAAAAAGGGAGATTTCCGGCGAGATTTTGGTGGTGGTGCTTGTGGCCAAGGTGATTTCCGGCGTCGTAGTCGTGGTGATGCAAACAAGGTTAGACCTCACTTCCCTTGAACTTTTGAATTGAAATGTCATTTTTGGTATGAACATGTTGAAGATTAGGATGAACACCTTGAATATGAGTATGCACTTGATGAACACCTTGAACATTGATACGAACTTGTTGAATGTATGTTTCTAGATCAAAGAGCATGTAGGTGTGCCCTCCGTTTTTGTGTTCTTGCGTTTTCAATCCATCTTGCATGTGCAATAGTTCCTTTTCCTTGTTTCTGCATATTGTAGATGTCTGAAAGTTCTGATAGAGAAAGTCATGACCCCCCTGTCTTTGGTGGGGAAGATACTGAGAGTGCGAAGCCCAGCTAATATGTTTGTTCTGAAGGTAGAGTTCCAAGACAAAGGGGGTGGTAGAAGGTATGATAGTGCATGAAGGTGAGAGGGGTGAGCCATCAGTAGATTCTCGGGAGGCCGAGTACAGAGAGATGCAGAGGAATTACAGAGTTTTAGAGGCTGTGGCTTATCGGGTTCTAGCCTTGTCTCATACACTAGAGGTGGGCTCGAGCAATCAGGCATCACCGTCAGGGTCTGTGGGCGTAGCCGTGACTTCAGCTTCAGAGGGGGTGGATATATAGGTTGGTGTCCCTTTGTCAATGCATAATATACTTACAGAGGTAAAGCTGGCAGAGCTTCGGACAGATTTTAGTGTCCCACCCTCGGTGGGCTTGAGGTTACCCACTACCGCTGATGTGGTTAAATATCCTCTGTAGGGATGTGTGCTGATATTCACTGATATGTACTAGCATGGCTTCAGACTACCATTTCATCCTTGGGTACAAATGATGTTGGCTAAGCTGAGGTATGCACCGGGGCAATATAATCCAAACTTCTGGATTCTTTTACATGAGGTGTATATTGCCTGGTGGTTTACTGGATTAAGGGAGCCAACATTTGAGCAGTTTATGTATCTTTATTCGATCTCCAAGCAACATAGAAGTTTTGGCTGGGTACATGCTAATTGCCGAAAGGCAAACGAGAGAGGTTACTTTATTGGTCACAAGCCTTCTACTCAGAAGTCTTGGAGGAACAGGTGGTGCCTGGCTTATAGTGACTAGGAATGTCCGCCAGGGAAGACCATCTCCAAACACATTTCTACCCACTTCCAGTCTATAGGTCCTTGGCCCCATCCTTTAAGACCGATTATTGTTTTGTAGTGTTTTTACCTGCTTTGATTCTTGGTAATCCATTTTTGCTTGTGCAAGTGTAAATGGTTAAGTAGTATCTAACCTTTGGTGCAGGTTCGGTGAAGTGGGGGTCGATTTCCAAGGAGCAAGAAGATGAAGTTGAGAGGGTGAGATCATTGCTATCAGAGACCGAGCGTGATTACCGAAACCTAGTCACCCAGAAGAATCTGTTTGAGTCCGGCCTTTTGCAAGGAAGTAATTATTTGGGTCGCCTTTGTTGTTTGTCTTCTGATTCCATTTTGTAGTTATGACTAACTTAACTTTTGATATGCAGTGGCAGGTGTTATAAAGGGAAGCACAAAGGTGGTTGTGGATCTTGATGAGGCCGAGATGCAGAGGCGACTTAGGGAGTCTCGGGCGAAGAAGGCGGAGAAGGGGGGTGCCAGGCAGGCGACTAGAAAGCGCCTTAGAGATGACGATGAAAGGTTGGTTGCCGACGTGCTGGGGAAGAAGAATGCGTTGGAGGAAGCTCACCAGAGTGTGATGGGGACAGAGTCAAGGCTTCCTTCCTTTAACCTACAGGCACCGTCGAAGCTCTCCTTCGGTATGGAGGATGTGTTTGCTGAAGGGATGGAGAAGGTGGACTTCTCCGTGCTGTGTTGGCAGAAGAAGGAGGTGAACCTGGCCATGCATCGGCGAGAGGTTCCCTTGGTGAACGTCTTCCTAGAAGGCATAAAGAGTGACCCCGAGGCTCTGGCGAGGACACAAGCATCTTCCTTTGCAGATTGGGCCTAGAAGACGTTCCTTACCCATGCCTATACAAATTATATCTATCTGAATTTGTTCTTATCATTCTGATTTGCTCTGACTAATGATGCTTTGTTTTGTAGGTCTTTGGCGAGATGTATGTGAATATGGCCAAGGCAGATAAGGAGATCCAGAGGTTAAAGAGGCGCAATGAGATGACCAAGGACAAAATATCGGGGGCGCATGAGGTCATCCGAGAGAAGAACGCCCTGTTATTGTAGAAGGCGCACTGGCCAGAGAGGTGGAGGAGCTGAAGCGCTCAAAGACCAAGGAGATAGTTGTCGTCTAAGCTGAAGCGGAGCAGAAGAAGGCCAAAGAGGGAGCTGTTGCCCGAGCCGAAGTGGTCGAGTTGTTCCGGAGTTCAGAGGAGCTACGGAGTTACATCATGGATCGGTTGGTGTATGAGCAGCTGTGCTGGAAGGAGAGATTGGCGAGGTTCAACCCTTCGGTTGAGATCAACTTTGATACGAGTGGTGAGCCTCCTTCACCTAGTCCTACCATTGAGGCCACTCCAGAGCCATAGCCGGCAACCACGGATGCCCCCTCTACCGGGGCCTAAAGGCATTGCCTTCTTGATGTATTCTAGTTATTTTGTTGGAACACCTGGTGTTTATTTTTGTTTTGTATAAACATTTTACCTTACTTGGGGCAGTGTTATTTTGATTTGCTTTTATAGTAGACTTGTTGTCCTTTGATATCAATTGTGGTAGCAAAATGATAATCATGTGATTGATAAGAATTAGCCAGAGTCGGGCTTTTCATTAGATAGGTGCCAAAAGGCAGAATGTACAAGAGATGGTTGAGTCAAAGCTCAAGACCAAAGTCGAAGAAAACATAATGTCCTAGGGTCTAGTTGTGTTTACTTATAGTAGTACTTGAGGTGATCAGCATTCCAAGGATGAGGCAAAGTCTTGTCCTTGGGATCACGAAGTTGATAAGTGTCGAGGCGGCAGACTTTGGTAATCTCATAAGGACTTTCCCATATATGACCCAAGGTACCTTCAACAGGGTTCTTGGTGGCCAAGGAAACCTTGCCCATGACCCAGTCCCTAATCTTGAAAGCACAGGGTTTGACTCGAGAGTCATAGTACTTAGCGATACGCTGTTTGTACACGACATTGCGCATGTTGGATTGGTCACGAAGCTCGTCAATGAAGTCTAGGTTCAGGGCTAACTGCTCGTCATTGGCTTCGGTATCATAAGTGAAGGTTCGGTATATGGGCTGGCCAATCTCTACTGGTGCCACAGTTTTGGTACCAAAGGAAAGAGAGAACGATGTTTCTCTTGTTGAGGTACGGAAGGTAGTGCAGTAGGACCAGAGAACCTCTAGGAGTAGCTCTGGCCAACAACCCTTGGCTTTATCAAACTTGGTCTTCAGGGTCTTCTTGATGATCTTATTCACGACTTCAACCTGGCCGTTGGACTAAGCATGGGATGGGGAGGCGAAGCAAAGACGTATCTTGAGGTTGGAACAAAATTGTTTGAACTTTGCATTGTCAAATTATTGGCCGTTGTCTGTGACGATGGTGTTGGGGATGCCGAAACGACATACGATATTCTACCATATGAAAGTTTCGATGCGAGCTGCAGTGATGGTGGCTAAGGCTTCAGCTTCAGCCCACTTGGTGAAGTAGTCTACAGCTACAACTGCATACTTGACCTGGCCCTTACCCTCAGGCATAGGTCCAATGAGGTCAAGTACCCATTGGGCAAATGGCTAAGGACTGACCATGGCTGTCAATGATTCAGTTGGAAGTTGTGGAATGTTGGCAAACCGCTGGCACTTATTGCACTTTTGGGTGAAGGCTTGAGCATCGGTATAAAGTGAGGGCTAGAAGTATCCTTGTCGAATGACCTTATGTGCTAATGAGAGAGCGCCTAAGTGGTTGCCGCAGATACCCTCATGGATCTCCCTAAGGACATAGTTACCTTCCTCTTGAGTCAGACACCGAAGGTAAGGGAGCTGAAGCCTCACTTGTATAAAGCGCCATTGATGATCAGGTATTGAGCGGAGCGATAACGAACACGTTGTACTTCCGCAGAATCAGCAGGTAGTGTCTGATTTTGCAAGTATTGAAGGATGGGGTCCATCCATGTGGGGTTGTGACCAATGGTACAGATGAGCGGTGCTCGTGTGCTGGGCTAATCCAAGAACTCCATGTGGATGTTGCGACCGATGCCTTGTTCTATAGCAGATGCTAACCTGGCCAAAGTATCAGCATAATTGTTTTCAAAGCGTGGCACCTAGCTTATAAGATAAGCTTCGAATGTTGCCACCAAGTGGCGGGTATGCGGAACATATGCCGTCATAGAGGTGTCTTTAGCAGTGAAGTCCTAGTTAACTTGGTGAACGACCAATTGGGAGTCACTGAATATCTGGATTTGCTTAGCGCCCATCTCTTTAGCTAGCCGAAGGCCAGTTAAGAGTACTTCGTACTCAGCGACATTGTTGGAGGTGTGGAATTTGAAGCAGATGGCCTACTAAAGAACAACTTTATCTGGGGAGATAAGAACAAGGCCAGCCCCACATCCCTGGGCATTGAATGAGCTATCCACATATAAGGTTCACAAAGGCTGGGTCGGGTCTAGAGTGCCGTTGCTGGCTACGTGGACCTAGTTTGAGGGAAGTGTGGAGTTGATTATGATTTGGGGAACGACCAAAGCTTGGGGTTCTATGAATTCTGAGATGAAGTCAGCAACAACCTGACCTTTTGTAGCCGGGCGGTGTTTATAGTGAATATCAAATTCACCCAACTCAATAGCCCACTTAACCAACCTGCCAGAAGTCTCTGGCTTCTGCAATACCTGTCTTAGTAATTGGTTGGTTATGACATGAATGATGCGTGGTTGGAAGTATGGTCTTAGGTGTCTGGCTGACACCACCAGAGCAAAGGCCAGCTTCTTCATATCTAGGTACCGAACCTCGGCATCTTGCAATCCCTTGCTAACATATGTTCAGCACCTTCGTAGGGGTGGATAAGCGCTGAGCTAACTGCTGTGGCCGGGACGGAGAGGTAAATCATGAGGATATCTCCAGGCTCGGGGTTGACAACAAAGGGGCCTGGCTCATTCTGCAATCCAAGTGATGTTTCGCTTGTTACCCTTAAGTGCCTTGAAGTTGGTGCAGCGATCAATGGCCTTGGAGATAAACCTGGTCAGGGTCACGATGCGTCTGGTAAGGCTCTGGATGTCCTTGACCGTTTTGGGTATCTTCATGTCTAAGATGACCTGAATCTTTTCTGGATTAGCTTCAATACCCCGCTAGCTAATCATGAAGACAATGAATTTTTCTGAAGCTACGCCGAAGGAACACTTCTGGGAGTTGAGCCTCATTTTATACTGTTTCAGGATGGTGAACATGGCAAATAGGTTAGAGATGTGCGGGTTAGCAGTACGACTTTTGACTAGCATGTCATCGACATAAACCTCCATGGTGTTGCCAATCAGTGGGGCAAAGATGTTGTTCACAAGATGCTGATAAGTAGCCCTGACGTTTTTTAGGCCGAAGGGCATAACCTTGCAACAGTAGAGGTCACGGTCGGTGATGAAAGATGTATGAGTTTGGTCATCAGGGTGCATAAAGATCTGGTTGTACCCTGAGTACGCATCCATGAAGCTAAGGAGGGCGTGGCCAGCTGTGGCGTCAACAAGCTGGTCGATTTGAGGTAGATGGAAGCTGTCCTTCGGGCAAGCTCGATTAAGGTTGGTATAGTCTACACACATGCGTCAGTCTTTCTTAGCCTATCCAAATTAGCTAGCCAGGTGGGATAGTCCACCTTCTTAATGAATCCAATATTGCTTAGCTTATCCACCTCCGACTTCATTGCCTCATACCTCTCTGGGTCATAGGCATGATGCTTCTGCCGAAAAGGGCGGATAGGAGGATTAATGCTTAGCCGATGAGAAATAACATCAGGGGATATACCAGGCATATTGTTGTAAGACCAGACGAAGACCTCTTAATTAAGGCGAAGAAAGGCCACGAGGTCAGAGCCAAGCTTCTGGGAGAGGGAGGTGCCAATCCGGGATGTAATCATGGAGGCAGACAAGCTCGAGGTCTTCCATGGGTTTGCCCTGTTGTGTAACCGATTCCTCCCTAGGGTCCTTAGGTCGTTCAGTGCCAGTTCGAGAAGGGGCTGGAGCCTTGGTTACTGCTAGGGCCTCACCCCTATGCTGGCAATTAGTGGACTTGACTGCAAAAGTAGCAGCTTTGGGCGCCAAGTTGGTCACCACGCATTGTGCTCATGCCCTGGGGGGTGGGGAACTTCAGTAGTAGCATATGCGTGGACATGAAAACCTTTATTTGCCCCAGGGCATGGCGTCCTAGGATGACATTGTAAGCTGTGGGGCAGTCAACGATAAGAAAGGAGTGGTGATTGTCGCCCACTGAGGTGCTGAACCAATAGAGATAGGAAGATGGATGCTGCCAATGGGCTGAACAACATCGCTACAGAAGCTCACAAGGGGTTTGATGCTTAGGTCTATCAAGTGAGCAGGGACTTGGAGCTCGTTGAAAGCATCAGCAAACATTACACTAACCGAGCTGCCAGTGTCCACCAGAATACGCCCAACATTGAAGTTAGAAATGTCCGCGCGGATAATGAGTGGGTCATCATGTGGGAGAATGACACCACGTTCTTCCTCCTCACATAAGGTGATGGGGGCCCAGCTTGATTTTTGTGTCTTAGGCAGGCGTCTGTGCTCAGTGCTGAAGAATTATTGCGCATAGGAAGAACGGACATAGTGTTTGATGGAGTTGTTGGAGGTTTCGGCCAACGTGAGACCACCGCTGATGGTGGAGATCATGTTGATATGCCTTTGGTGAGGGTTAGGTGGGGGGTGGGAGGTTGTGCACATATTTATCCAGCTTCCCCTCATGAATAAGTCATTCAATGATGTTGCTTAAGGCAACACAACATTCGGTATCGTGGCCCCTGAACTGATGAAAATGACAAAAGACACCTGTGTTTGGCATAGGCTTGTTGGTTAGTCTCCTGAGGAAAGGCTTGGGTATCATGGTGGGTGCCTCGTGCATTAGGACATTCTCATAGGTGGTGTTGAGGGTGGTGAAGACCTCAAACCTAGACTTGGGTGTGAAGGGGAGTGGGGCCCGATCACTTGTCTTGGGAGGGTTACTTCCACTAGGCTGGAGGTGGTTGCCATGTCTGCCACGCTTGCTATTGTTGAAGGTATGCTGGTAACTATCCTTCCTTTTTTTGGTGCGGGGTACCTTGGTTATTTGGGGCGGGAATAGAACGCTGAGGTGGGGCTGGGCTAGGTACCGAAGCATGTGGAGGATCACCAAAGGTGCTGCGTGCAGAGGTGGCTAGGTCATGCTTGGAGTTGAAATACTCGGCCTTAGCATGAACGGCTGCCTGCTTCATTAGCTCTGCATATGTGTTCCAAGGGTTGCTGTATACCAAGTACCGAAAGTTGGACTCGCGGAGTCTACTCTTGAAAGCACCGAAGGAAGCACGTTCGTCAATCTTCGGGCAACGAGAATACTCGTGGCTGAAGCGGGTTGCATATTCCCGAATGGGTTTATCCTCACCCTGCCGAAGCATGTACAAGTCGTCTGCGGAGTACAGGTGATCGGTCTGGATCATGAAATGGTCTAGGAAGGTCTGTTTCAGACTGTCAAATGAGTTGATGGTGCGGGAGTTCAGCTGTAGAACCAATTCAGGGCCGCGCCACTGAGAGTGGAAGGGAAAATGAGGCACATGCCTTCGTCAGTGAGACCCTTGCATCCGAGGGCAGACTGGAAAGAGTGAATGTGGGTAGGAGGATCTTCCGTGCCAGTGGCTGAATGTCCTTCTCCTGGTGGTAATTGAGGATATGTTCGGTAAAAGGCCCAGGTCGTGGCTTCGCCCAGAGGGGCTGGTAGCTACGGTGTTGTTCACTCTCTAGATGCCGGACCTTCTAAAAAATAAGCCTCATGGCCGGGTCGGCATGAGGGAGAGTGTCGGGTACTAAAGGCCTGGGGTGTGGGTTGGCAGGGGCTTGGTAAGGTTCCCATTCTTCGAACACCTCGGTATGATACGATTCCCAGTCATCTAGATGGTAAGACTCCCAATTATCCAAGTCCCCTGCACCTTCTCCAGCAGGTAGGTGGGTTGCCTTCGGTGGGGGGCCTAGGTGTGCTACCCTTGGGTCCTTGAGATTAACAGGAATAGGGATAAGGTCTGTCTGACGGTCCAAGAGACGGTCCCTGCAATCTTTATAGATCTTGACTAGTTCATGGAGACGGTCCTTCCGTGGGGAGATGTGAAGGAGCCATGACTTGGTTGTCTCCGGATGGAGGGGGCCTTTACCCTTGCTAAGCCTATACTGGACTGGGGCACTATGGTGGGAGTGCACTGGTTGGTTTGGCTGGGTATGCTCAGCATCCTGGGTAAAGTCATGTTGGGAGCCTTGAGGATGAGTCATCTCCCAGTTACGCTTCAGCTCGATATTTTTGGTATGGAGATGTTCATATTTCTCGGACATCTTGGCAACGCTGGTGCGGAGAAGCTCTACTTCTGCCTGGAGATTGGCATCTACTGAAGGTTTCCTTCGGAAAGTACCTCTGCCGAGGGTATGGTGCTGAGTATCATGGCTATCCTCAGTCGGCATAGCAGAGTGTGGGGTAAAGAAGAGGCGACGGGGCCTGACTGGAGAAGGAGTCAACTGGGCTGGTAGAGGAAAATGGGATTCAAAGGTCGTTTCCCACAGACGGCGCTAAACTGTTGATGCTCTTTTTGGGAGGTCAACTTAGAGAGAAATGGATAGTCTTCAACAGGAGGGAAGGTGAGGACCTTCAGCAAGGGAATGGTCTGCAGAAGACAAAGTAGAAGAAGCAGTCGTTAAGCTTTGGACACCGGTGTGGTACCGGCCGAAGGCTCTCCAATGCTTAAGTCAGCTATGAGTGGTAAAATTGGCAGAGTAAAAATAAAAGTGAGAGAGAAGTTACCCTTTTTACTTGGGTATTGTTCCTTATTTATAGGGAAGTGAAAGTGGGAGGTTTGCACAAAGTTTCGATGTGGGACTTTGTGCAAGCCGCTATGATGGTGACACGTGTCTTTGGAGATTAGATTCGGCAGTTGAGAGCTTCGGCAGGTGTCTGACACCCCGAAAGAGTGTCTTCCTTCGGCAGTGGAGAATGCGTGTCTGCCTTGGTGCTAGTTGTTTTGAGGTTGGATATACTCAGTTGATTATGGTGTAAACAAACTTGCCAATGGTAAGGTGAGAGTGCGTCTCTCCAAAAAGCAAACAAAAAGAAAGCCATTTTATGTCTATCTTGCTTTCTGCATAATTCATCTCTTATTTGAGCGATGGCTATCTTTTTTGAATGTGCTTGTCATAGTAATTAGAATGATTTTCTGAGAATGTGAAACATTATCCATCACTCTGACTCTCTTAATATTCACACTTTTATAGTTTTCACGTTAATAAAGTTGGGAAGAATTTGTGACTGTTGCATATTGCAACATTTGCATTTCCATGTTGGGGAGAATTTTGCTCTTGTATCGCAAACAACAACCTACAAGAGGATCTTGTTGCACAATCTTTGGGCGAAATGAGCACTAGAATGATGAGCGGCCTTGTGACATTAGCTAGTCTTTTGTGTTTGTAACAAATAATAATTGACAATACATTGTCATGTTCAAGTCCTTGTTTTGTTTTAAAAACAACTTTAAAATTAAGTAAATAAAAAAAAAAAAAAAAAAAGGATTAGTTTGTAAAAGAATGAAGAGATTGTGAGAAATTATGTAAAATGATGAAATTGAGGAAGGATAATATGTAAAATGATGAAGATGTTGTGAGAAAATATGTAAGAATGAGGTAGATATTTATAAATAAAAAAATTTTTTTTAAATAAAAGAAATCAAAAACCGACGTCACCTAACGGCTAGGAAGGCAGAAGTTAATTAAAAAATTGGAAAAAAACTCGGGGCTGTGAACCGTGGTTTTTCTATTATTTATTTAAAGTTATATATATATATTATTCTTTTTGTTCATTTTAACGTGGGACAATCGAAAAACAATTATTTTATACCTAGGAAGGCAGAAGTTGTAGCCGCCTTCGCTCTACTGTCTCCCTCTCGCCCCTGGACATCACCATTCCTGAGCAGTGAGTGAGATAGAGAGAGTATGAAGAGAAAAAATACTAGATTGATGAAAGAATATTTGTACAGAAAGAGCTTAGAAGGCAAAGAACGCCTTCTCTACGAGAACAAGTGCAAGATTAGGGAAGCTCTGCAAGGTTACCCTTTTATCTTTGATTTTCTGTTCAAGTTTTGTTTTAGGGTTAGTTGATTTTCTACTTAATGTTATTAAGATTTCAGAGGGACAGAGCCTTAACCCACTACTAGCAACATCGATATTGTCCTCAATTTAACCAAGTTCGTACTAAAGGTCTCAACTTTATTAGGAAGAAACTATTTATTACATGAGACTTTCTATTTTGTTAAGTTTCTGGTGTTAGCCTCGTGTATGCTTCAATAACCCTTAGCCCACCACTAGCAACATCGATATTGTCCAAAACTTAATCACATGTTTAGTAGATGTGGTATTTTATACAAAATACCTCAATTTTATTTGAAGTGAAACTATTTATTATATGAGACTTTCTATTTTGTTAAGTTTTCCACGTATGACTTGTGCATTCTTCAACAAATTTGGGACACCTTTTGTTTTCTTGCAGAGGGTAAACCGATTCCCACTGAGCTTCGGAATGAAGAGGCGGAGCTTCGTCGAGAAATCGATCTCGAAGATGAGAACACTGCTGGTATATGAGTATATAGAAATTCTTTTTTCTCTTCTTTGGTTGTTTAGACCGCCAATGTATTTTTCTTGATGGTTCTGTTGGTTTTTAAAGAAGGAAAAAGGAAAACTGTGAGATGAATGAATGGTTTAAAGTTTATTTGATTTTCACATTATAGGTAAGGAAGTTGAAATTAAGAAATGAGGCTTAACAGGCTAGATAGATATGGGTCTTGTAGAAGACATTCAGTAAAAATTTGCATGTAGTGATGATGAGCCTGTACAAGTGCACTTAGAAATTGGCTCTGTGTACATGATGTCTATAATTTACAACAAATACTCGAAAAACTCTTGATACCCAACTGTCCTGTAATTTGTAGTTTTACATTTTATTATGTGGTCAATTCTTCCCTGTTTTCATTTTTGAATCCTAGTCCCAAGGACACATATAGACGATGAGTATGCAAAAGCAGCAGAAAGAGATCCCAAGATTTTGATAACTACTTCCCGGAATCCAAGTGCTCCTCTAGTACAATTTGCAAAGGTTGGCCTAGCCTCTTTCAATTTCTCTTGTTTATCTAGTTGCACTTTTGGTGTTCAATTTGCTGGTTCGTATTATTTGCTGCAAATTTGGTTTTGATTAGTGCTATTGTGGTTCACATAACACTTGTTGTAGGAACTGAAACTTGTTTTTCCTAATGCACAACAAATGAACCGTGGTGGTCAGGTTGGTGAACTTTTTTGCCCAAACTTGTTCGGCTTATTTTCCTTTTCTTCCCTATTTGTTTTTACATAAATCATCGGTTTCTTGATGTGCATTTTCTAAGTTTTGCTTTTGTTGCTTTTTCATGTATATCAAATATATGCCCAGTGTGTGATAACAAAATTTATACTTGGAAAAATCGTACACCTCATGGGGTTTAGTCTGAAAATTAGGAGGTACGTTGGACCTTTTGGTGCTAGGAGTGTTTGTGAGATTGGGCTGGGATGTTCAGCTCCTCAACCCTGATCTGTTGAATCTTTTATATGAATGCAACAGTAAATTATTTCACAGTTCTATTTTTGATATGGACATTTAGTCTTTTGAAAATAATTTGTTCACCATTTTAAATATGTTGTAGGGAACTGACTAGCTCTTAGTCTACTGGTGTTTCTCTTCCTAATGTTGGAAGAGATCCCAAGTTTGAATGCCCCCTCCGTGATTTATAAACAAAAAAAGTTAATTTTCGAGACAACACGACACCGGTAACAGAAATTAAGCATACTATGAAGTTATCAATTAGGATGAATTATTATTTGCTTAACATGAACTCATAACTGGCAAGACCTGCTAACAAAAAAATCCATGCACCTTGTAAAGCTTAGGATTTTTTAATTTTTATTTTATTGACTTTTAGCACCAAGAAAAAATAGATTTTTAGGAAGAGTCTATTGGTTATATGCTCGGTACAGAAATAAGATAAACAAAAAGTTGTGAAAAATCAACCTAATCGTTGCACTAGTAGTAAAGTGGTTGTACTAGTAGTACAGTGGTTGGACTAGCGTTTCTTCTAAACATATTAATGTACAGGTTGTGTTTCTAAGTCCATAAAAGAATCCTAGACTCCAAAGCTCTGTCATTTCAACTTTTCCATAGGCACCAGAAAATAGAAAAGTTCCTGGAATTCCTTATTTGCAAATATTTTTTGTGCATGGTGCTGTTTCATTTCTGTTATGTGTCATGTGCTTAACCTTGCACTACTCGCATTAAGTCATTGGCACTAGGGCTGGCATTTTCTACCGAGATTCTGCAAAACCGCAATTTCACCGCAACCAATCCGTAATGTTGCGAAATACCAACCACATATGTGCCTTTGATTTTCAGTTCAGTTTGTTCAGTCTTTTACTGTTCACCATTTGTTTGGTGTTGCTAGTATGTCTAGATTGACCCCTACAATTAAGAACATGGTGAATATCTCTTTTCCAGGCAAATAACCGCTTCAATTTTTTCTGATGTTATTCTATTTATGTTAGATGTTAGAATTCTTTCTCGGCAGCTTATCACATTTGAGGATATACCTGCCATGGTTCTGATCCTTTGGTCTATTTTCCATAGTAAACTATCTAATTGACTTTAAGTGTGTTTCTCCCAAACCCTGCAGGTTATTTCTGAAATTATTGAAACTTGCCGTGCACATGATTTTACAGATGTTGTTTTGGTTCATGAAAATCGTGGCATACCTGATGGTTTGTTCATAACCCACCTTCCTTTTGGTCCAACGGCTTTATTCGAACTGCGCAATGTGGTAAGTAGTGTAATGATCCATGTTAATGTAAAATAAATATTTGATATTAAAACTGACGTTTGAATGCAGAAAAAGAATCCAGACAACAGCAATTTTCCAGGGGTCTTCAGCAGAAAGGGAAAATTGAGGCAGAGATAGTGTTTTTAAAAGTGAAAGAAGAATGATGGTCTTTTTTCAATATAAAGCATCAGCTTCCCAGACCAAAGGAACATAATAGGAAGAGCTGATAATGACAATTGAAATATGCCAATCATGATGAACATTGAAAATTAAACCAATTTAATTAATTAGATTTATGATCTTGATCATTTTTTGACCTTGTTGCTTTTTGACTGTATCTGTGCTTGAACTTAATAGTTTGGGAATTTTGCTAAAAATATTCTACTTAATAGGTTACAAGACATGACATCAAGGACAAGAAAGCTATGGGAACCATGCCGCAGGTTTATCCACATGTGATTCTTGACAATTTCACGACTAAGGTACCATCATCTTGATTGCTCATATTACCTAATATGTTTGAGAAGAAAGATAAGACCCCATGGATAATAGCATTGTTCACAGATTATTATTGTTCTGCAAATCCACGACCACTACTGTTTTCATGAATTTACTACTGACTATGAAATTTCGAGGACTGCCCTTTGAAGCACCATTTTGTCCTCCGCTGGTTTGTTTTGGTGCCTGTTTGTATTAATAAACTATCCTGATGGCTTATTAAAAAACCTAATCCTGATGGTATTGTGATTGGATGTGGCGCATTATTCATCTCTATCACTCTATCGCTTTCCCCCTTATTACTGTTCTTACTTTTTCTAAATTCTCCACTCTTTTGGGTTTGCATATGTGGTGCTGCTACACCTTCATCTTATATATAAATACATCACTCCTATTTGTGAGTTGGCCTTCTTAGTTACCACCCTATCAACATTGTATTATATTATCTTATTTCTTCTTGATGTGTTGATAGTTGGGTGAGAGAACAGCAAATATTTTGAAACATCTCTTTCCAGTGCCAAAGCCAGAAACAAAGCGCATAATCACTTTCGCCAATCAGTCAGACTATATTTCATTCAGGTTTGTTGTCTCATTTGTGCTTTTCTTTTCCCGCTGTGTGATTTAGTAAGTGAGTTTTCTTATTTGCGATTCTATTCTTCGCTGAATGTGTAAGTTTTGCTCTGCTTTTCCGTTAACAAACTGAGAACCTACAGGCATCATACTTATGAGAAGCATGGAGGTCCTAAATCCATCGTTCTGGAGGAGATTGGTCCTCGGTTTGAAATGAGGCTTTTCAAGGTTAGCGCTTTACCTATATGGTCAAGGATTTGTGCTTCTTGCATTGATATCACACTCGCTCTTCTTGCATTGATATCACACTTGCTCTCTTATTTTCAGTTTAATTTACTGTTTTGTATATATTTTTCTATGTTTAGTCTTTTTGCCTTCATGTCTGTTCACCTTTTGTATTGTTTCAAACTGCACCCAAAAGTAATTCAATATGTCTGGTTATGAGGTTACATTCGCTGTGGTATTGCCCATTGAAGTGTCCTGCCTTGAACATTTTAGCCTTTCTTCCCTATGGCCCAACCCTTTCTCCTGAAAAAATGGTTGGGAAAGGGTGGGTACTATTCTCCAAGACCAAGAACAGTTTAAAACGTAGCCTTAAACTGGAAAATATTGATGTACCTTCCCATAAATGGCCATCATGACAGATGAATGGAGTGATTCTTTTTCTTCAAGTTGAAGTTAAAATGAAAATGGTTATACATGACTCGAGTAGACTGCAATATTTCTTGTATTTTACTTGGTTGGCTATCTCCTTATTCACTGACCAAATATTGGGTTCCAGCCATACATACATACATATGATGATACATTTCATCTGCACGATAATAATGTCCGGACATCCGCATAGGAGAATTTAAATATATATATATATATATATATAATTGTCTCAAAGAGCAGTTACTAGTCACACATAAGGTTTAAACTGGAAAATAATTATGATTTCCCATAATGGCTGTCTTCTATTCCAGTTCAAGTTAAATGTTTAAAGTGGCCATAATGGTTACGGTTGAACCTCGAGGTTTCTATGACTCTTGTACATTGTTTAATTAATATTTCATTGTATTGTTTTGCTTACGTTTTTTCTCTCTCTGGTGTTGCAGATAAAGTTGGGAACACTGGATCAGACTGAAGCCCAGGATGAATGGGTCTTCAAGCCATACATGAACACAGCGAAGAAACAGAAGTTTATAGGGATTTGATGTGACTCGATAAACTTTTTGGTGTGGTCATAACACTGTCATGTGGTGTTACTGATTCATGTAAAAACACATAATTTTGCTTTTATTAATATAATATCGTCTACTCATATTATAATATGTTTGTAACATGACGTGAAACGTGTAAAAAACTGAGTTATTCTATCCTGCACAAATGCTGACCCAACTACTAACTAACATTGCATCACTTTTTGTTTGGTATAAACATAATTTATCTTCTCCTTTAGCTAAAACCACCAAGTTTGCACGCCGTTTCTTGTTAATCTTCCATACCTATCAGCATGAATTTTCACCTCAATCCAACAATTTCGCGTACTTTTACTTGCTCATTAAAAGTGGCATAGGATTCTGAGTAGCCCTTGGAAACCAAGCATCTGATTGTTTTGGGAGTGCTTCTTCCTGAAGCGCTTACAAAGAAAAAGTTTGTCGTTTGGATGTCACATTTAAAAGTGCTTTTACATTACATAAAAGTGATTTTGATATTTTGTTGAGTGTTTGGCTGACACAGTAAAAGCGCTTTTAAAGAGTGCTGTTATTTTCACCCTTCTCTCTGTCCTATTTTCCCACCCACCTTATCTTCAAAAATTTTAAGACAAATTTACCCATTTGTAAAATGACTTCTAAGGACTTAGGGACAAAACCAATCTCCCTCGCCTAAGAGTGAGCAACCATTTTATACCAGCCATTGGATTAATCTCACAATACATAGAGCCTTTTATTAACTTAAATTCTTGACCCGCATATTGCACACAACTTCTTCTTCCTCATCTAGCCATCTCTTTGTTTAAAGCTTCCCAAAGTTTTACTATTTTTCCATCATAAATCTGATTTCTCTTAAAGGTACCATCATTTTCTCTGCGAAACAAACGTGGGCAAAATTAATTTTCCCTTCAAAGGCTCCTATTGTCCTTTTAAGATTTCATGAAATTCTATATCATGAAGTTGTTTTATTTTCATCTATTCGCTTCAAACAACAAGCGATTGGTATTATTTGATTGAGGGAGATCAACATGATAGGAGCCTAGGGACCATAAGCATTCGAACCTTGCTTTAACTTCATGTTCTTCAATCACATATGTATTAAAATAAATAAATAAGAAATTAAAGAAGACCTAAAAGAAAATAAATACCCAAATCCCTTCTTCTACCGCACACAACCCCTCTCATCACAAAGCCCATGAGTCACCTCCTCCAGGATGAGAAAGAGGGATGAACTCTTGAAAGAACCACAATTGGCTTGGAGGAAAGAAAGGAGGATTTCCCTTAATACGGGTCAGGAAATAAAACGGATATAAGTTGGGTTTTTGAGAGAATTTGCTTTGAATTAATAATTAAAGGGTATTTTAGGAATAATGGTGGGTGGAAAGATAGGATTGTGTTTTTTTCAAATTTACATGGTGGGTGGAAAAATAAGACAGGTGGGTGGAAATAGTAACACTCCTTTTAAAAGTACTTTAAAAAAATTTAAAGAATCCCAAAATATTATAATTAAAAATTCACAGGATCCCAAAATAAAAACACGACTTAAAGTTGTGAAGAACTATTGAAACAACAACTATTTGTATTTGTTTTCATAGGAAAATTATGCATCTATGGTATCATTCTCCAACAACGATAATCTAAGGATGACTTCGACTCACTCATGAATACTAATTGTGTTCATAGTAGGATTTAGGAACATAATCCATAACGAGGATTATGCCTGCCAGTTGTGTTCATACTAAACTAAGAAATCCTCACTTTTGGTTTTTCACCTTCATATGAAATTATGAATTCTTTCAATCTTCATATTCCTCACTTTGGTAGCACGCCTAAGTGCTATATATAATAGAGAGAGAGAGAGAGAGAGAGAGAGAGAGAGAGAGAGAGAGAGCTAAAGAGTTGCATATTCAAGAAGAAGAAGAAAAAACAAGTTATTTCTACTAATTCTAGAATCAACAATAATGGATTCTGAAGCTTTTGGAGCTGAATCTGGCAGCAGCAACAGGGTTTTAAGCATACTGCTATTAATCATAGGGCTCTGATACCAATGGTTGGTTGCGAGATTTCGATGTCATGGATGGTGATTTTAGTGTCTCTAATGTTGTGCCTTAACATATCAACATTGCAGACGAATTTAATGTTGATGCATATTGACAATCGTAAATGTCTGTTCGTCCAAAAAAAAAAATCGTAAATGTCTGTCATAGTTTTAATTTTAATAGGAGAGAAAAAGAGAGAGAAAAAAGAGAGGGTATTTTAGCATTTTTTTAAAAAAAGTATGGGTATTTTCGGCATTTTAAAAGTTTCATTAAATGGAGTAAAGTGATTCCCGTGTTTTTGTCCTGCAGCGCTTTTAAGGAGAAGCACATCTTAAGTGCTTCTTCCAAAACCACTCCAAGTGCTTTCGGATCGCACCCAAAATGCTTTTGCAATTTTTGCAAAACACAATTTTTAAAAGACAAAAGCGCTTTCACCCATTTAGAAGCGCTTTTCACTGCTCCAAAAGCACTCCCAAACAAGCTCTAACTTAGCAGGCGATCCATTTATTTATGGAGTGCAGCATGTTACCATATGCCATGTTTATTTCACATAATAAATCATTATACAGTTCTCTGTTCAAGAAACAGCTCAAGGCACCACCTTTTCACAAAATGTACTATTCAGAACGAGGTTGCCTAAAACTAAACTAGTCCCATCAAAATGCATTATCTGCAATTATCAAAATTCATCACCTGCTCAAGTGTCTCTCTTTGCCCACGCAACTAGGGGTGGGCACGGTCCGATTCGGTCCGGTTTGTAGCTCACACCGAAACCGAAACCGGTACTGTTCGTCCGGTCCGGTCCGGTCCGATTTGTAAGAAAAACAGGAGAGAAACCGGATCAAGCCGAACTGGCTATTTTCGGTCCGATTTTCCGGTTTGAGCCGGTTCTCTGGCAAGTCAGGGAGATCAGTGGAGAATAAGGAAAAAATAAAAAATAAAAACTTAAATCTAGTTAAGCAATTTTTACTTCTCTGAAACCCAAAAAAAATTGATCCAAAATATTTGATTTTTGCTTTCATTCTCAAATCTCGGCAGCAAAATAACCCTAAACAATCCAGTGCTAGGTAAACCAGAAATCATAAACAAAACCCAAAAAAAAATAGAACATACCAGATCTAAGGAAATCGACAAAAAAAAAAATAAAATACAAAACCAGATTTCTCCTTGCATGAGACTCTGATGCTTGAATCTAGTCTTAGGATCTTCGTTACCAACAAATGAAGAAGGCTCCATAGCAAGAACCCCTTTCATCCTCTTCATTAAATCACAGAGAGAGAGAGAGAGAGCGAGAGTGAAGTTGCAAGAAGAAGAAAAAAAAACAGGCATAGAGAAAGAGAGAGTGAAAGAAGAAGGGGGGGACAGAGAGAAGTCGCAGAGAAGAAGGAAAAAAGAAGAAAAAGGGAAAAGGAAAAGAGGAGAGAGAAAGAAGTATCAGAGAAGAAGAAGAAAGAAGAAAAGAAAAGGGAAAGGAAAGGAAAGGGAAATTAGGGGAGAGAAAGAGGGAAGTCGCAAAGAGAAGAATGAAGAAAAGAAAAGAAAAGGGGAAGGTAGAGAGAGAGAGAGAGAGAGAGAGGAGAGAGGAGAGAGAGAGAGAGAGAGAGAGAGAGAGAGAGAATAAAAAATAAAAAGCTGAAAAGAAAGATTGAAAAGAGTGAAAAGAATTACTGAAAAGAGTGAAGAATGACTGAAAAGACAAGGCTTCGGGAAAAGGGGAAAATAGAAGAGAGAGGTGAAGTAGGGTTATGGAAAATAAAAGGTATATGGGCTTTAAATTTGGCTTTTTATTTGGGTTAAGGAGAATTGGGCTTAAGTATAGAATAATTTAAAATAAATAAATCAAAAATTAATACAACCGGTCCGGTCTGGTGCTATCTTGTGTAAAACTGGAACTGGAACCGATTTGAACCGGTCTGGTTCGATCCGGTCTGGTTTTGTTGACTTTTTAGTCAACTTGATTTTTTCCCCTTTTTTTTCGTCCGGTTTGGTTCAATTTTCCTGTTTTTCCGGTTTATATGCCCACCCCTACACGCAACAATGCAGCACAGCACTCATAAAGATATAATTTCAACTTCCAGAGTTGATGTGAAGAAACATACGGATAATAGAGGATGATAGACAAGCACTTTGGGTGCCGTTTTGTGAATTCTGCTTTGAGAGTCTCTTGCTTCATGAGAATTGTAGAGATAATAGAAGTATATGAATTGAGTGAAATTGTTGAAAAAAAATTTGAGTGAAATTAAAAAAGATTCGGATGATTCATGAATTGTCGATTAATCTAAACTTGTACATGCCAAAAGCTTTTGAGGGCTTTTGGAGAACACTGCGATGCCCCAGTCCTTTTGTAGGTTGATGTTCAACTGCAATGCGTTACTTGTTGATCAAGAAAGGCTAGCCTGGGCCCTTAATTTGGGCTTGACGTCCCTTTCATCAGATGCATTAGGCGTGCCACTACTAGTGTTTTACTCTTCTATTAGAAAGAGAGAACGAGTGATCTAATGATGTGAAGATAGTGTTGCGCTTGTGTATCTTAACTTCTAACCAAAGCCATTGTGCTCCCTCAGTTCTTGCACTTTTAGCTGGCCCAAACAAGCTTAAAAGGTCAATTTACATGGTTCAAATCATATTTAATATGGTTGTCTTGCACCGCATGACTTTCCATCAGTTGTCGAAATCAGCTTTGAGTTAAAAATTGGATATTCGCGCTTTTACCCAGGTAACAATAATGGTCTTCTGACGTTTAAACAAAAAAACCTCTGAATAAACAAAAACATGGATATTTGTTTATTTAGTGCTAGTTTGGCATTGCTTATTTGGGGTAATAAGTGATTTTTTAAAAAATTTTGAGAAGCTCAACCCATTTGGTAAACTGTGAGAAAATCATTATTGTTAAAAATTGCTGTGAGAGAAAGCTATAAGGGAAAGCAGCTAATGAGGTGCTTTCATTTTCTAATTATGCAGGAATCAGTTTCGAAGAGGCGCTGGGTTTAATGATTATGCGGCAATTATTTTTGATTATGCGTAAAATCAATACCAACAACACTTTTAACAAAAATTTTACCAAACACCAAACTGCTTTCTCTCACAGTTGATTCTCTCACAGCAAAATCTGACAACGATTATTTTCATAGTACAGCAATGCCAAACTGGCCCAGACTAATGGCTTCTTTTTTGACTTATGCGACTGTGCTCCAACTGCTTAAAGAATCGGCCCATCGATTGTAGAAATTAGGGTGAGCTAATTTTGGTCCAACATTTGGCCCCTAATTTTAATAGAAAATTAGTTAATATCCATTCCTAGACATAAAACTATAAAAATACCCTATACTATTTAATGTATATAAACCACACCCAAAATAAACCCAAAAATCAACAGCTGTATATTTTTTAATTTAATTATTAAAATGAAATACCTTTATTACCCTTTTAACATAAAATTGGAATTCTAATCAACAACAAATCAGAACCCATTTCACGACCTTCAATCTCTCATCTTCATCTTCAACCCCAATTTTTAGTTTTTGTTCAACCTCATCATTCTAAGCTTCGTCGGAGGGCTCGCCTGGGCTATCGACAATGATGCGCTAGAGAGGGCCTTTTCTCCGTTCGGTGAGATCATCAAATCGAAGAGCCGTTTGATGCATGTTCTCTCTCTGCTTCTTGATCTTCTGTTTCTCTACGTTACTTGATCTTTCTCTCCCAAAGATTGAAGATCGATCGATTCCTTTCCATTTTTGTTTATTATTGTGTATTTGTTTGATTATACTCCAGCGTTTTTGTTTTGATGGACGGATCTGATTTGATTTGGTTTCTTTTTGTGTTTCCAGATCATCAACAACCTGGAGGTCCAGGGGCTTCGACTTCGTCACCTTCAACAACGAGAAGGCCATTAGGGATGCGATCGAAGGCATGAACGACCAGAACCTCGACAGCCGTAACATCACCGTCAACGAGGCCCAGTCTTGTGGAAGCGGCAGTGGTGGTAACGGAGGTTACAGCTCCAAAGGTGGCGGCGGAGGATATGGTTGCGGGCATTTGCTTCACTAATTGCTCCAAAGTTCAGTTCGCCATGAATCCGTATCATTGCTCAGCTCAGCAGCTCTTCTGTCTCAACTTTCAATCAGTAGTCCTCCTTCCTTTCTAGTTCCTAGCCATAATTGAGATGCTATTGCTTTGCCTTGTTTTGCCCTTGCTCCTTACTTTATTGATGATGATTGATTTTGTCACATTAGCTGAAATTGAAGTCGTATATGGTGCTAATATTAACTATTGAATTTCATGCTCTTTGCATTCCTAATTTCTAACTAATATGCATGCTGGTTGATGATTGTCTTAGACTGCTCAATATTTATTTAAAAAAATACTGTCATTTCCCCCATTTTGTTTATGCTTTTTGTTTCTCTTTTGCCTTGCCTTTTTCATGAGAGAAAGAAGAGATTGCTCTCCTATGGAATTCAGACTAAGAATATGTATTGGTAGAAAACTTTATATTGAATAGATTCTGCCTGCAACAACTTATTTTAAATATTCCTATACAGCACACGGGGACTTGCACCAAACCAAACTTCTTCTTCTTCTCTTCTTCTTCTGTATATTTATTTATTTGGTTGTTATTGAGAGAGAGAGAGAGAGAGAGAGAGAGAGAGAGAGAGAGAGAGTTGGGTTGGTGTGCGTACGTGTGTATGTGTGGGACTGATCTTTATACAAATTGAAAAACTCTCTCTGTCTCTCCAGAAACTTTTGTTGGAAAAAGAATCCTCTGAGATTTCTTGAATAAAGTTTCAATAATGTATCACACTACTAGCTTTGCCATGCTACTATGTATTCTGGTGCCCCATATTAATCTCTACATATTTATCCGTTGACCACATAAAAATGACTGTTAAAGCAACAACTTTAGTTTAATTATTGTCATTTAAACATTTATCTATCTTTCTTGTTGCAAACTCATAGAGATTGGTAGGTCCATGGAGGTCCTGAAAAAGGAGATATTTTATTTACTTCATTGTGTAACGAGTTAACATTACAATATATGTAACCACTTAGCATTACAATAACTTTATATTGAAATTTTGACGTGGGGAGTGAATGGCTTCATATTTTCCCTATAGTTTGTAGTGAAATAGCAGACTATTCAAATTCTATGTACTATTTCACCTTATCAGTTATGCGCTTTGGGCTTATAATTGTTAACTGTGTTGTTCCAATTATTCTATTATGCTTAATTATTTTGTTCTTATTTCGTATTGTCAGATTTGGTGAACAACCTTGGTACCATTGCAAGGTCTAGCACCAAGGAATTTATGGAAGCCTTGGCTGCTGGTGCATATCTTGTTGTAGATAAGGTCATTGTTACTACCAAGCACAATGATGATGAGCAGTATATGTGGGAATCGCTCTGATTCAATGTTTATGGTATGTGAAGTGATGAAGGATCAATTAATTATGCAAATGAAATGATGTAATTGATTTTGAGTGGTATGGAGTTGTACACTTTTATCGTACCGATTATGTAAATGAAATGATGTAGTTGTTAACTTCCAGTAAGTGGTATGAACTGTATAATAACTGTTCATACCCTGCAACTGAGTTGATTTCTATGACATAGTATTAACAGTGTACTTTTATGACATAGTATTAACAGTGTACTTTTTTTTCTTTTTGTAAAGATATTTCCTTTTGCCTTTGCGATTGTATGTAGTGAAACTATGAACAATTGGAAGTGGTTTCTGTAAAAGATATCGGATGTCTTGCTGGGTTGTTATAGTTTTTTTTTAATTTTTTTTTTGTATGAAATAGTATTAACATGTACTTTTATAAAAAAAGTATTAACAATGTACTTCTATCATATGGTATTAACAGTGTACTTCTATAACATCGTATTAACAATGTACTTCTATGAAATTGTATTAATAATGTACTTCTATCACATGGTATTAACAATGTACTTCTATCACATGGTATTAACAGTGTACGGAAGTTCAATGGAGAAGGGTCGTAAGGACAGCTCCTTATTTTCACGATTTTTTTTTAGTTTGGGTTTTTTAAAAAATTTTGGATTGGGCTTGTTTTGGGTTCTTTTTGAGTTTTTTGTGTTGGGCTTGTTTTAAGTTAATCAATGGTAGAGATGTAATTTATAGGAACTTCAACACTCATTTCTTATTTAGTAAATAGGTTTTGGGTGTGTTTCTAAAGTGCATTTCATGTGGGGTTTTTTATAATTTCAGTTCCTATTTTGGGTATATTACTAAGCTCCCTAATTTTAATCAGTTTGAACGTAATTGATTAACTTTAAAAGCCACATCTGTCTTGGGTGTCGTTTCAACACTTGCCACCTGTTGGTAATCTCTTACGTGATAACTTCCTGGGTATGCATGCGCCATGCTTTTGAATTTTGAATTGTTCTTTACTTCCAAACAGCTAAAGGCAACTCTTCCCTTTCTACTCATCACGTAGAAATTGAAACCTAAAATTACCAATGCTTCCATTTTCTCAGATATTGTGCTTTTCATTTTCCTCATGCGAAACCATCAATCCTCAAAAAACCTCAAACACCTTGGCTCGAGTTTGACTATATTTCATCATCCAGAGATGACACCTAGGAAGACAATGAAAAGGAAAGAAGCTGAAGAAGAAGAGATAATTAAAAGGACGCCCTTCTTGACTGCAGATGGAGCTGTCACGCCCCAATCCACGAATTTACGTAACTTTGGGCTAAGACGTGATTCACACCCAGTGGCAGAGCCAAAAATTTAAGTGAGAGGGGGCACAATTGAAAATTCAAACTCTTTTTACTTTCTTTGTTGTTACTTTTTGTATAAATAACCTAACATTCATTCATAATAATAAAATATATGCAACTCAAAAGAAATTGACACTTGAGAATAAAAGAGAAAATAAATAAAAAAGGGGAAATTTAAGAATTTAAAAGGAATTTCATAATATTATTATAACTAAATATCCATACAACAATATTTGAGGAGGGGCACATGCCCTCCCTGGGCATGCATTGGCTCCGCCACTGTTCACACCTAAATTCTAAAAACTATAACTAAAATGTGAAGAAACATTAAATATATAAAATAAATATTTCACATAGAATATTCAGCGGAAACGACAACATCTGAATCTTAAAATTTTTACATAATTTTGCAAGTTTATAACTCTTTGCAAGTTGAAGAAAATATTCCCTCCTACCTTTTCGATATCATGGTTCACTTACCTTGTCACTTATTAGCATGAGAAGCAAAAGTCGTTGGCCCAGTATAGTTCAGGTGGATGTATCCTGTAGAGAGGTAATGTATGGTTTAGAAGTTATTTTGTATAGATTGTCTTTGATTTATATTCAAAAAAAAAAAAAAAAAAAAAAAAAAAAAAAAAAAAAAAAGTTCTAATTTTAATCTACAGGTATTTGCACAAGCTAAAGAGTTATGTTCGTAATAAGGCTCACCCAGAAGGTTCTATTGCGGAAGGTTACTTGGCAAATGAATGCGTAACATTTTGCTCTCGCTATTTGAGTCGTGTTGAAACTAAATTAGTCGTACATAGAGAAACTATGATGGAGGACAACCATCATCTGATGCATCTAAACTATCCATATTTTCAGCATGTGGTAAAGCTTTTGGGAAAAGTGAATTAAGGGAGATGAGTATTGAGCTTCACAGGGCTGCCACATATTATGTCTTAACAAATAATGATGATTCTGAGCCTTTTATTCAGTAAGAAATCTTCACACTCATTGAGAGAATATGAGCATACATTAACTTGTTTGTTAACATATGCATTGTTATCTCATGCGTGCAGAGAACATAAAAATTCTCTAGTCCACTTTGGAGTCCAAGATGTGGATGGGACACATAGGCATCAATTTGCCAATTGGTTTGAAAAGAGAGTAAGAAAATATTTTTTTGTTTGCAATTTCACTTTAAGTGTTGGGATCATATAAAGGTCATTGAAAATATATATTTTTCTTAACTTGTAGATTGAACAACTATACAAGGACGGGAAAGTGAGTAAGGAAATGCTTGCTTTGGCCCATGGTCCTGAAAGGTGAGCCACTTACTATTCTGGTTACAATATGAGCGGATTTAGGTTCCATACCTTGCATCGTGATGAGAATAAAAAAACACAAAATAGCGGTGTCATGGTTAAAGGGGAGAATCAAATTGATGATGTTCCTTGGTATGGAACATTAACAGAAATTGTAGAGCTTTGTTATACACAGAAGAAAAGGGTTGTATTGTTCAATTGCAATTGGCATGATACAACCCAAAGAGGAAGGGGTTATAAGATTGATCGCTATGGGATTACAAGTGTTAACACAACACGCAAGTTACATACTAAGGATCCATTGTGTTGGCAAGCCAAGCAAAAAAAGTATTTTATGTCAAAGAAATAAAGAATAAGACATGGAGTGTGGTGGTGGAAACAAAGGCTAGAAATGTTTATGAAATGCCTACTGATGAAGGAGAACCATACCAAGAAGAAGAGGCTCAAAGGTGTATACACGCAACTACCAACCAAAATGAAGACGAAAGTAATGATATTAACAACAGTGGGGATGAGGGTGGAGATGAGGACGAGGATGAGACTAAAGAGACATGCTCTGAGACTCAACCTTCTCATGATAATGAAGTACAAGAAACTCAAGAGACATGCTCTGAGACTCAACCTTCAAATACCCAAGGTATAGCTTATATTATTTCAAAACTATAAATAATATAAACAATATAATGTTATTAATTGTTGTTCTTAATTAGGATTAAGTGAAAAAAAAAAAAAAAAAAAAAAAAAAAAAAAAAAAAAAAAAAAAAGGCCAAGGGAGGAAAAGGGAAAGGAAAGAATGATGATTGAAATATATAAGGGAAGGTAAACATATACACTACTTATTGTTACCAATAGTTATTCTAGTTATTTCTTAGACTTCGACAAGTGTAGCTTAATTAATTATCACTTATTAGTTTATTTGATGGCATATAAAGTACTTTAATGATTCAATTTCCTCCAACATTGTAACCAAAGAAGCAGCTCGGAATATAGGTGTACTTTTCAAGCAAGAGATTAAAGGAGCTTGGGTAAAATTTTCAGATTATCCAGAGACTCAAGTAAATCTATTATTTGAGCGTTTCATCGAAGCTGGATATACTTACACATGTTCTGAGGAAGAATTGAAGGTTGCATTCACTGGACATATAAAAAAAAAAAATTTGCTGATTGGATGTGGAACTTGAGAAGGCCAATTTTTCAAAAATACAAAAGCACTGGTCAGAGATATGCAAACCGCCCAGAGAATGTACCTGATCCTTCAATATGGATTGCAATGGTTGATGAATGGTTAAAGCCTGAGTGGCAGGTAAAAGTTAATTTAAATAAGATGTTTTAGCTATTTCATACATTATTATTAAGTTACCATTCTACTGTGGGTTATTAATTTTTACATTGTTTGCAATAACTATCTATTTGATGGCATCTACTTTGAATTATATTTGTAGGATCAAAGTAAAAGAAACAAATCTAATCGGGAAAAATCAACAATAGTGCATACCACCGGTTCAGTTCCAATGGCAAAATACCAAAAAGATGAGGTAGACAATTGAATATTTTATGTAAGGCATGTATGTAAAGGTCTTCAACTATTTTCATTGTTGAAGCTATGATTGTGAAGTTGGTGATTGCACTAGTGTCATGATTAGAGCTTATGTCATTTGTTTTTTAAGGGAACTTGGATGACTGAATTTATTTGTCTTATCATATTCATGTTTTCTTGTTAACAGCTTGATAGAACTGGAATTGAACCCAGTCCAATCGATTGTTTCAAAAAATTTCATATAAGTAAGGGTAAGAATGGAGAAGGAGAAAATTGGCCAAGCGAAAAGGCGAAAGAACTTTATGTATGGTTTCCACTTCAATGTCTAGCTTCTTATTTTTCCATTAGCATGATATTGTGTCTATATATGCAACATGTGTTTATAATTTCACTGCAGGAAAAAATGGAAAACAAAAAGGCTGCTGTTGAACAGGAAAACCTTGATGTCAATGATTGGGATATTTATAGGGAGGTGATTGCCCCGAGTCATGGTAGTGTTCTTGGCTTAGGCGGTGGCGTCAAAGCTAAAGATGCGTACTATTCCTCAACTAACCAAAACTGTAATAAGCGTAGGTGCGTGGAATTGGAAGAAAACCATGAGCATTTGAAAGAGGAATTGAATGATGTCAAAGGTCAATTGAGCACTTTGCAACAACGAGTTCAAATGCTGATTAACAATAACCCACAAAATTCTGCTCACAGTGCAAGGCAATCACCTAATGCGGTATAGCTTTTGTTATGTATATTGCTTCTTAATTGTATTTGTTACTCAAATTCTATTAGGTCTTATTATAATTCTTGTTTTTGTTATTGTTATACCAGGACAATGTGGGAAGCTGTCCGATGCTTATCTTAGCTAGTGATGATGTCGTGGAAGAGCCCAACTAGTTCTTTTATCATCTGCCAAAGACATTTTATTTAGTAATGTCATACTTGGAATTTATATTCAAAGTTTAGAAGTTGGAGATATATATGAGTTGATATGAAATGAATATTGTTCAGTTCTTTTATATTAATGAATGACAAAAACATATTTATGAAAAAAGTTTCTGATTGGAAATATTATTTATATATTTTATTATGAAAATATAATATTTATTAGAATAATTATTCTATTTACGACAGGTCTGATTACATTTTTGACATCCTTGATCATTGTAAAAAAACTTTTACGACAATCTATGTTGATCGGAAATATAACTTACAAGTCATTTCCGAGAATAGTGATTTCATTTATGACACCACATTCCCATCGTAATTGTCTACTTTCGATGACACGTTTCATTATTTCCAACCGGTCTACACCGTCGTAAATAACATTTCTAACGACCTATGTTCCTCACAAATAGGTCCTACGCATTATTTCCAACAAAGAATAATTATTTTTTGATGCAATTTTGCTATCGAAAATGTCTATTTCAGATGAACAAACATAGTCAGAAATAAATTTAGTCCTCGGAAATAGTATTTCAGACAAGATTTCTTGTCAGAAAAGTTTGGTCGGAAACAACAAAAGCTTGTCGTGTAAGAAATAGATCCGACTACCTTCGAATTATTTCCGACCATTTTGGTATATTGGAAATACTAAATTATCATTGTTTGTCAAATTAGTTTCCGACGATGTCATAATATTTACGACACACATCGCTGGTCGAAAATAAAAACTTTTCTAACGGCTCGTTGGAAATGTACCTTTTCCGATGATCGCTTTTCCGACGCCATTCGACGGCCATCTGCTCTCGGAACAACGTTTTTCCGACAAAAAATTGGCATTTCCGACTTCGTTTTGCCTTTGCAAAAATGGTTTTTTTTTGTAGTGTGTTTTGCCTATGAGATTTCATAGAATTTCTGCTAATCATGTTTGACTATTTTCTTGCAGAGATAACACAAGCTCCAGGACCAGAGGTGGCTTCTTAGGTTGTGATAGTGAGATGGAATGGTAAGACACTTTACTGCATTAGAATCCTAATTAGACATATTGTGTCCGAAATTTAGATTTCTCAATTGACTTTGCCTGTTGTTAGCACATGAAGGAGATAATGAAGAGAAAAAGTCTCCCATGATCAAAAGGAAGAGAAAAATGACCACGAAGATTGTAGAGCAAACAAGTGAAGTTGAAGAACATGATCATATTCAAAGTGAGGCTGAGGAAGAGCTTGAGGCTGCAGTAGAGCCTCCTTCCTCACCACTGGGACAACGCAAGCCTCACAGATCAAGAGAGGTAAATCTATAGGACCTTGATCTGAAATTTTTGTCTTTTCAAAAGTCATCGGACTAACTGAACTTATTTCTTTTTAGATTTGCGGTCAAAACCTTAGTTCAGAAGCAGAAAATTCCTAAGGTGTCTCTTCCCCAACCTGCGATCTCCAGAGGAAATGAGAAAATGAGAAAAAAGGTTCAAGATGTTGATGCTGGAAAGGTTGAAAATCTCACAAGGTTTGAAACTATAGGAGCTTCTCCAACTCCAATTGTGAGCAGAGCATCTCTCCTGGCAGATCCGAGGATTAATGAGCTTGCAGAGAAACCAGGATTGGTCTTGCATATGGTCCTCTAGCTAGTAAGCAATTTTTTCTCTTGTGGCTCTTATTAGTCATTTGCCTTTAGCTTATGCAATAACTAATTGCACTTTTGGTTTCAACTGACTGAGATAGAGATAAAAGAGAGAAGCAAGAGGAGAAACAATAATGGAGGCCCATACACTTAATGTAGATGCCGCAAAAACTGCCTCAGTTGCTCAGGTAAGACCATTGTTGGTCTCTTGTCTTAACGAGTGTGAGTTCGGAGAGGGAACTGATCTTTTGATTTGCAAACCAAGCCTGTCCGAACCTATTCTTCCAAGACCAGGCAGACTTCAAAGATATCTGCTTCTCCTTCAAAGGTGAGCAAAAGCGTAGAAGTTTGTCTAAAAAACCATGTTTTAGTCTATTTAACAGCTTGTTTTCTGCTTTTTCCTTAGGCAAAAGAGACTGTTTCAGTGGATAAGCCAGCTGAAACAACAAATGTTATAAAGAGCCCGGTGACTCAACAGGTAACAGTTCCAGCTGCCTATTCAAGTCATAGACCATTATTTGGTTTAATTGGGGCTGATTTTGAGTTTTGATTGCAGACTTCAAAGGTTCCAACTCCTCAACCATCAACCAAAGCTTTTGAGACACAAACTGTCTCATCAACATATGCATCCTTTCCTCCCATCATCTTAACATCAATGCTTGAACTGGTAGACCATGATTTGGTCCTTCAATCACCTTGCTAATGTTTCTCTTAATGTGCAAAAAATTACTGAAGTTGCCCCCAGTGTGGACACGGGGAAAAAGGTGATGGAGAGTCCAAATAGAGTGAGGTTATCACAAAGAGCACTGGGGCTGAGCAGGGAACACATCGGACAGAAAAATCTGAGATGCTGGTTCATATAACTTCGAGAAGATCAATGAGAATCCGGGCAAGGCCAAAACTGCAGAAAAAAATGTCTGAACCCTAAACAACCAGCTCCCAATCTACAAAACAGCCATTCATCGCCCATCATATATGCTCAAGGCAGCTGCAAGCCAACATGAATGTTGTGTAGCAATTTTGAAAAATATAGTTAGACACAAGTAGAGCTAGGCCTTGTCATGAACAATTTTGCACAATAGTTCTTGAATAAATTATTGTTATGCCATTAGAACAATTCTGGCAATTTTGATCAATATAAATGAAGTTATATTTTGTTTTAAAGGTTGTTTCCAACTTTGTGCTTTGTATGAATTTAACTTTAATTTCTTAGTCATGAGCGTTGGTTAAATAATTAAGTCGTTTTTAAAAGAAATTTGCTAAGAAACACATCAATGCTTATCATTCAAACACTGACTGCCTGTGTGTAAATAGAAATAAGATAAAATTAATGGGCATCAACAATACTCATAGAAAAGAATAATTAAACTATTTATATTATAAATCCATATTTTTCACATGTTATATAAAAGAGAACTTTTAAGTGAGGATGTCCTCATAAAAAAAAAAAAAAAAAAAAATTCTTCAGGGTGTCACACCCTTAATGCAATATTAATTTTGTCTTTTAATCATCTACTCATAATCAACTAATTCTCGAAGCATTGAACTACATGGAATTATATGGAAGAAGAAAAAACTGAATTTTCTCTATTATGACCATATATGCAAGAGCCAACAACTTCCTAGTGTAAGAGTCGTTTATATGGACCATAGATGTTGACCTTTATATTATCCACATGATTCATCTGAATAGTAACTTCACTTAATGAGATCATGTGGCTAATATAAATGTCCACATGAGGAGTCCATATATGACACCCTCACTATAGAATTTCACTCTAATGCAAAGAAACATAATAGGATTTGTGAACATAAGGATTTAGATTTGAGGGCTCAAACGGGACCTGTAGGGTAAAAATTGAAGTCCACCAAACATTAGATGAAGAGAAGAGAGATAAACATCAAAGATAAGAAATCTACATTCAGAAAGCCACACAAAAGTGTTTAGAGAGGAAGAGGTGACGAGAAGAGCAGAGGAGGAGAAGGCAAAGCATTGATTTAAGGAGGCTGGGCAAACCAAAAGAGGTGTGCTCGTCGCAACAGATACTTGGCTTCAAAACTCACATATGGTGTTGGGTTTTAGAGTCCCACTTATTTGGGACATTCAAGGGCATATCCAGTTCGAGACACATTTTAAGTTCACCAAACAATAGAAGAAGTCATATTCATTTTAATTGGAAATATCTGGTCCAGTTTAGCCCACTAAACGGGACCAAAGTCCAATGACGTGAATGACATAAAAATCGAGCCCAGCCCATGAATACGGTTTAATTCGGCCCAACAAAAACCCAGTTTCCAGATACGGCAAACGAATTGTGAATCGAAACCTGGATCTAAACGACGTCGTGGGGGATCATTTCCTCGTCAAAATTCATCTGAAGAAAGACTGAAAACAACGAGGAGAGAGAGAGAGAGAGAGAGAGAGAGAGATGAGCGCATTGTCAACAGCAGCGTACGCAGCTCGTCGAGCAGCTCAGAAGGAGAAGGTTCGGATCCTCTACAGACGAGCCCTCAAAGACACTCTCAACTGGGCTGTTCACCGCCACCTTTTCTACCCAGATGTAACTACGCTTTGCTCTCCCTTTTCAATTTTCCGTCATGTCCCATCAATTGATGCATTGCATTCGATTTCAATCTCTCAATTTCTGATTTTTTCTTCTTCAGGCCGATGCTTTGCGCGAGAGGTTCGAAACCAACAAGCACGTGGTTCGTCCTCCTTGTTCCCTTTTGTTTAATTTCCCCCATTTTGTTTTTGTTGTTGTTTTTGTTTGTGTTTCAATTCGATTTTTTTTTAATCTTTCAATTTAACATTTTGATTTTTTTAGCTTGGCTGCATTGCTTGTTACTGAATAATGTACCCTTTTGATTGTTTTGCTAATGAATGAAGGTACCCTTTTGATTGTTTGTTGGTTTGGTGTGGATTTACAGGAAGATCCGGACACAATTGATAGACTCATAGAAAATGCTGAAGCCTCCTACAATAAGTGGCGCCACCCTGATCCTTATGTTGGTAAGACCAAATTTACATAAATATATATTGCTTTTGCCCTCAATTGGAAAAATGAGGGGTTCTTTAGATTTCGTATTTCTTGGTTGATGTTCTGAACCTAATTTTATGTTGTAAGCTCCAGAGGCTTTGAGCCTTCATATGGGGTATTAGCTCGGGGAGAGAGGATTTTGGAATTGGCATGAAATGTCATCAATTTGGATTTGATGGCGTTATCAATGACAATATCATTGTTGCGCAACTATGTGGATCAATGTGGTTCTATCCTGCCAATTAACTTGCGTCCAGATTTTTCTTTGTTTTTTGGAATGAATATTGAGGGACCAGCTATTGAGCTCTCTCTAAAGCCGTATCTTTGTTCTTATTAGTGCATAGATAATCCAAATGTGTTAAAAACTTGAAATGAAAGCTTGCTTTTGTAAATTTCACTAGGTTTTGCTATTTCTTTATGGTCTTAAGTAATCTCTGTACTTTCCATAATATGTTGTCTCGTGGTTTTAATTTTATTTTTTTTTCCTTCTCTTCTCTTCTCTTCTCATTTATATTTTTTGCGTGTGCAGTTCCTTGGGCTCCCGGTGGTTCAAAGTTTCATCGGAATCCCACTCCACCTGCAGGGGTAATATATTATAGTAACTCATTCCTTGGTTTATCATTGTGCTTTGTTCTTTCACTTGTTCACTAATATTTTGATGACATCTACAAAGAATGTTCTGCTATCAGTTGTGTGCTTTTGATTCCCTAGTTCTGTTGTGTTATATGTTTACTTTCTTGTAGTGTAAGTGTCTAGTTAACTAGTAATGCTTTCCTTTTCTAACCAAAGGACATAAGTGGAAATGGACAAGTATTCTCAAAATTGGTTGCTGTTCTTCTGTTTGGAACAAAAGCAATATATTGCAGTTGTATAATAGCTGGAAATAATAATTTTTTTAGATGACCACCCAAAGTAAGAGTAGTTTTTTTTGTGTTCTACTTTTATCCTTTAATTCATTCAGGAAAATATAGAGCCCTTTTGTTCAGTTTTAAAAATGGATTCTTGAGAATTTTCTTATTTACTTTCAAAAAAAAATTATGAAGTAGTTTAGTTTTCACAATTTTTTATTTAATTTTACTATTGCAAGTTTCCATAAAAGAACTTTCCTATTGCAAGTAGAAAGTTCTTTGCTTTTCCTATGTATTCATTGATTTTGCAATGTTCTTATTCTCATGTTTTTCCCGCCTGGAGCAATGACACAGCTACCAAGGATTGGTGGATCCACTATACCATGGTTGCAAGTTAATGCATTGCTATTTGCTTCCCTGTTTATGATTCCATTGTGATATTTTTTGTTGATGCAGATTGAGATAGTATATGACTATGGAAAAGAAGATAATGAGTAAAAACCTGCATATTTTTCTTCTCGATAAATAAAGGTTAGCAATTTAATATCTGCTTGATATATGTGTTTTGCTTGGTATTTTCTTTATATGTTTTTAGGTGTGTGTAGTCACTCGTTTGGTCTTAGGAATGACACTCCTTGTTCTAAGAATCACACCATCCCTTATTAGTCATTTTGACACAGTGAATTCCACCTTTTGTCAATTCACCATTTCTTAACAGATTGGTGACATTAAGATTGACATTTTTTTTTCTTCCCTATTGTAAATAAATAGTTAAAGTGACTGTCGGAGAAGCACAGCTTATAGTATCACTATACTTTCATCAGGAAATCACAAATCTAGTCATACCAAAACCTGATCTTTTTTCTTTTTTTTACAATCCACAAGTCCAGATTTTTCTTTTCTCTTGACCTTTTTTTGTTCAATATGAAGCATTCAGCACACCCACATTGTGCCATTGATAACTGTAATGGGACTGTAGTCATAACAGAAAATTTCAATTTCTTTGTTACTCATCTTGTATTAACTCCTTGCATAATCTTGAGAAGTTGAAAGAAACAAAATAGTACACAGAAAGTGAAAGGAGAGTGAAATAAATAAAGAAAGAAGAGACAAAATGATTTGGACCTGGAAAAGAGTTAATGTGACTGAAACAAAACTTGAAGGAAAATGGTGGAAGGTAGAGGGCGCCTTAAATGTAATTTGCATTTAATTGGTAAGAATTCAAAAATTGCAAAAGAGAGAATCACGTTTCACAAACATTTCCCTGTTTGCAAGTGTTTGTATGTGTGCGCATGGATGGGAGATATCGCTCTAATTTATGGAGGGATTGGAGCTAATGTGGACGAGCATGATGTAGGCGTTGAAGTCCACAATGACAAACAAATTTGTGGCAATAGTCATCTTTAAGATGTTTGGATTGCCCTAGTAGAGAGAATTAGTATCTAACTGAGAAGTAGGTGGAGGGACATGGAGATAGTCAGCAAAGGACTAGAGGAGGGGGAGGGAGAGAAAACAAGGGAAGGCAATAAAACTCATGGGAGGTTGTTGCAAATGTTTCTTTGTTTATTTTTTAACTTCTCATTTATTCTTGTTAAGTGGTTTCAAATATTCATATTGCTGTGTACATAATGTTAAAATAAGAAATTCTGAACAAATTATTTGGCGGTTCTAGTGAACATGAATTTGGTTCACATTGGTGTTTTTTTATTGTTGAAAAGATGCTGCATAAGAAATCTAATTATCCTTAAGAAAACGGGGGAAGGAGAAGATAATAAGCTACTCATTTGGCTTGTTTTGTCGGGTATTTCATGTAGCAAATGCGTTGCACTTTCTTCCCAATTTTAAGATGCATCAATCATGCCCTCCAATAGATTTTTTATGACTTTTCTATTGATGATATCTGCTGCTTTCACCAATGCAGATCAAGATGGAGAATGACTATGATGATGAAGATAATTATTGAGGCCAGCATCTTTGATATGTTACTTAAGACTATGATGATGAAGATAATTATTGAGGCCAGCATCTTTGATATGTTACTTAAGCAAATGAAACAGTTTTAATTGCTTAGTTGCTCCTTTTTGAGGTGTATTTGGTGTTTTTGTTGACACAAAACAACAGTGACAACGTGGTATGTTGCAGGATTGGATTAAGCATGATGCTTAATATGCACAAATTTCTCCTGGTCAATGTAATTTGCATTTCCTTGGCTGCATTGTTAGGTCAATATGCTCCCATGAACCCCCACAATTGGGGTGATGTAGTGCGGGTGTATCTGTGTGCTAAGTGTATATTGCGAGTAGTGAATTGGGGAATTTGGCCATATAAGCGTCTAGATTTGGAGTTGGCCTTGATAAAATGCAAAATGGATGCTTTTCGGTTCTCTCACTTTACCATGCAATGGAGATTGTAAAGGCAAAGGTTGCGTAAAGTGTGCCTTGAAGAAATGAAATTGGAATGGTTGGTCATTTGGTAGATATGTTTCTTTGTCAGTAATCTTGTTGCTAAACTAGGTTCAAGGTTCAAAGCCAAGATTCTCCTTTGTTTTTCGAAGAGGAAAGTAAAAATACTCGAAATTGTTGGATTGAGGTGAAAATTCATGCAGATAGGTATGGAAGATTAACAAGAAACGGCGCACAAACTTGTTGGTTTTAGCTAAAAGAGAAGATAAATTATGTTTATACCAAACAAAAAGTTATGCAATATTAGTAGTTGGGTCATCATTTATCCAAAATAGAATAACCCTGGTGTGATTTTTACACGTTTCACAAGATGTTATTAATTCACATATTATAATATGAGTAGACGACGTTGTATTAATAAAAGCAAAATTACGTATTTTTCAATAAATCAATAACACCACATGACAGTTTTATGACCACACCAAAAGAATTATCGAGTCATACATGCACTCCGATATGGAGAGAGGGTGCGGTAGGAATTGGGAGACTAAGGAGAGTGCTTGTAATTATAAGCTTGAAGACCAACACCATTGAATTGAATTTGATAGGAAAAGATGATTAGGACATTACGAATTTTAAATCAGTTATGCACGCATGATAAACCTGAGAAACCAATGAGGGCCGATGGAATTGGAAGAAACCAAAAAGTGTTTCAACAACTGAAAAAAAAGAAAAAAAAAGAAAGAGGTTTCATTTGGTTAGAAGCTTAAGACGTGTCCATTTCGAAGTGCCTCTCATTGTGGAAACGTATTTAAGGAGTTGGTGTCCATTTCAAAGTCTCTTTCGTCAACTCTGAAATTGGCATAAATCGTGATAAACTTTTTATTTATTTATAATTATGATTGATTTATATTGGAATGGCAATGATAACTCCCAATGAAGCACAGAGGGTATTTTACTCATAAATGGGGTAACAATTCATAGTTGCCATCTCTTTCCTGTTTTGACAGCACTTGTTTGTTTATATTTGAATTTAGTGATGACCCAACTAACTTATAGAACATATAGTTTTTTCTCCCCTCTATCTCGCATGACCCATAAACCCACAACCCTTTTCAGTTTTCCAGTGCCAAAACCATTTCTTTGTTGTTTCTTTGTTGCTTCTCTGCTTTTTTTTCTCTTGAATTCTGGCTAAAGATGGAGGAAGAAGCCATAAGGGTTTTGGGTTGGAAAGTAGGGAGAGATTTCACAACCCTATGTGCAACAATGTTTCCTGTATTGGCTTCTCTCATCATGGTGGTTTTGTTCCTGCGGACCATTTGGTCTGAATCTGAAGCTGCAGAGAAGGCAAGCATAAACAGTGGGTATAATAATTGGGGATTCTGTATTGGAGTCTTAACCCTAGTACTTGGTTTCTTGTTTTTGGCTGCTGGGCTTCCTTTACTCGCAGACTTGGTTATGAAATTGTCGGGGCAATTGCAGAACCATGAGGAGAGCAGAAAACATCAAGGTATTAAGTTAATAACCAGAACCAAAATTCAGAAATTTCATTCTGTCAGATGATCATCTCATTGTCAATTTTCTTCGTATGCTTTTCCGAACTTTAGTCTGCTCCAAACACCAGAAAAACTTACCTGCACCGGTTATATAACCGGAATATGGCAGTTTTACTCTCTGAACACACATCGAAAGCCAAAGAGTTCAATTCAATAGTACATCTAATGCCTTCTCAAATATTTTATGAATTTTCATGCATCTGAACTTTTCATGTTTATGTGAACTAGTGTGCGTCAAATATAGCATATTTTGACAACTATCAGCTTACTTGATTCCTAATGATGCAGGAGGGAAGTTGAAGACAATATGTATCATCAGCCGCCTAGCTATAAGCATCATTGCAATGTTCATGCTAGCATGGGCCATTAACACCGGAATTAGGCTTGCAACTGAACCTAGAAGAGAAGGGAAATATTATCCTCTAGCATCCCCAGTTGGTGTTGTTACTATTATGTTTGGCTTCACTTATTCTATCATTGGACTCTGTGTAATTGCCGAGCTAGCACTAGAATTGATAAAGCAGTTGCAAAGTACAGAGAAAGAAGAATTAGTTAATCATCAAGTTGGCAAAATAGATGTCAAATTTTTTGTTTGACATTGCTACAATACATCATACTACGTGCAAATATCATGCTATTGCTGATCAGTAAGTAGATTTAGTTCATTTCAGCCACAAAGAAGGAAAGGTTTTTGGTTTCAGATGCTCTATTGGCTTGTCATTTTATTCATTTTCCCACCAATTTATGACCATTCAGCAATCTGTAATCAATATTCAGAACATGTAGGTTGGCTCTAAGGTTTTGCCCTCCATGTTCCATAGGCATGCGGCTAGTGCTGTGAGATGAACCACTAAGTGTTTTCACCCCGCTCACAAACTGCACATCATAATGGCCTCTATCCCTATTCATAAAGCACTTCGAAAATAATAGTTGGTGTCCATCATTCTCGGAACAAGCAATCCTAGTATGCTACAACTCCCTTTTCACCAATCAGTCTATGCTCAAGTGTACTTGTGCCTAGTTCTCTAGTCCTAATCTTTTCACCAATCTGTCTCTCTGGTAATTTTGTTCAAACATATATCTTCGATTGTGAAGTGTGATCTTATAAAATGATAAACTCACACACACATGATAAGAAATTTGAAAAAAAATACAGGCAATTCATATTCGAGGGCTTCTGAAATTATTCTTTTTTATGTGAATATGTATAACCAGAATCTGATTTACAAGTTCACCTTAGAACATGAAAGATTAAGACTCGTCCTACAAGCATCCCTTGCTAAGTGTTTCCTGAGCAAAGGAAGTACTTCACGGTATACTGATGAAATGCCTACTACAAGACCAATCATTATTTTCCATCTTAACCTCACCATTCTAAGTAGCTCAGAATTATAATTTTCAATCTTATGCATTTCATTTTGTCATTTTAAAAAGAAGAAGTAATAAGAGTAAGACCCATCAAACAAAATGATAATAAAAGCATATAAAACCCAAGAACAGCATAAAGCATTCATATAATGTACACATTCTGATAACAAGGCATAAATGAAACCCTTCAAACCCTTAAAACTGGGAGATAACGTTACATATATTGAGCTAAAACCCTAAGGAAAAAGCTAACAAGGGTTAAGAAAGAAAGACAAGTGAGAATTCAAATTCAAATTCAAATATTTAGATGAGCTTGAAAGGAAGAGGCCAAGGAGTGGACCTGGGCACCTCAACCTTGTCCTTGATGCGCTCTATCTTCTTCTCCTTCTTCGGTCGAGCGTTTCCGTACGACCCTTTGAATCGCTTTCCTTTCTTCGTCTTCTTGTCCCCTCGTCCACACACGATCGGCGCCCCAATAGAACTCATTCTCGCCGCTGCTGCTACTGCTGAAGAAGATGATGATGAGGTTGTTGTGAAAAGGGCACGCTGCTCCGTCATCAGCACCCGCCTTGCTACTGCGCCGCACCACTGCATCATCGCCATTTCTCCTGCCCACTCGTTTAGTACAGAGAGAAGCTGTGAAAGGGGTAGACATATTTAGGTGATGACAGAATGGGCTGGGTTTGTTGGGTTATTTTTTTGCCCAAGCCCATTAAGGGCCCAATAATATTCTTGTTGGAAAATGGATGATGGATATGGCCTCGTGGTTCCAAATCAAACACATTGCCATACGTTTATCAGTGACTAAAATTGGTATTCAATCGTCATCTTTCTTTGTTTCACTACCAACACAGAAAAAGAAGTCAAGAAAGCAGCTTGTTCTATCACAAAGAGTGAGCTTTGCAACAATGGAGCTCTGTAGAGCCACTGCTTTCTCATGGACCCACAGAGTCTCTACCTCTCTTCATGTCTCTCTGCCCCTCTCTGTTAGTACCCAGCTCTTCCATTTTTCATTCTTGCTTTCTCACTTTGTTCACACAATGCTCCTTTCTTTTTTCCTTTAAATTTGTTTCATTTTATCTTTTTTGGGTTTTTAGAAGTTTGAGACTAAGAGACTCAGTGTTTGGTGCGCTTCTGATCGAACCCAGAAGGTATGCTCTTCAAATTTTGAATCTTTTCACACTCACATTTGCTGATGATTCTGTGACAGTATTTGCAAGCGTAGCTAATTCATTTGGGCACTTCAAATATTACTAGAATTTTGTATGCTGGTGCTCTAATCTTGTTAAACTAACTAACTTCCCTGCTCTTTGCAATGCAATTTGGGCCAAAGTTGTGGAGATGAGACTACACAAAGTTACTTATTATCAGTCCTTTCTATAACATGGTGGTGGCATTGATTAGGATTAAGCATTTGTGTGTGTGTGTGTGGTTAACAAGTTAAATATTATGTAGGTTGCCTTTTGTTTGTTGGAGATTTCATTGACCCTTTGCAGGTTGTCATAGGCAAATGCAATGACCGTATCAATAACTGGAGCCACGGGTTTTATAGGTAGAAGATTGGTGCAAAGGCTGCATGCAGGTCATTTGAACTCCACCTCCAAAATTATATAATCTTGCAACTAATATGCAGTGTGTTTATTGTATTACCCTTACGTGTTAAGGTGTTATTATGCATTCCACCTCGGCTTAATGTTTTTCTTTTGGTATTTAATTATCTCCAATTGACTATTGATCTGATCCTTATTTTTACTGGAGCGGACGAGTGCATACATGCATTTCTTTCAGTATTTGTGTGCATAACAAGGCACATTTAGAACCAAATCAAATCATTTCAAGGTTATGGTGTTGCTTGATTGCATTCACTAAGACTATGTTGCCTAATACTTTTTTCCTATGTATAAAGCTGAAACTGATACTGCATGTCCATGCATTGCACTAACTTAAACTTCCTTTTAATCCAATTTGGAATGCAGATAATCATAGTGTGCATGTCTTGACACGGTCTAAATCCAAGGCTGAGTTAATTTTTCCTGGTAAGAAGGTAATGTATACTTGTAGTTATTTGGTAACATGTTCAATAACCCCCCCCCCCCACACACAAGAAGAAATTTCTCATTTGCACTTAAAGCAAACTGTTAGTTTGTGTTAATGTTTTATGCTTGATGAACATTTTTGGGCCTCTCGCCTGTTGTTTCTTAAGTCATTGATTCAGTTATATTTTGGGCGAACATGTGAGGGGAGTATTAGTGTTTGTATTGAATGTGCTTGATATACATTGTTGGGCTTGTTTCCTAAGAGTTTTATTTTTTGGGTTAACACAAACAATATTCAATTTCTTTCTTAAAAAATTAAAAATATTTCTAAATCTAAACTAAAGTACTATTGCATACATATACAGATTGAAATTAACCACTTCCAGAACTCCTTGATTCATTGCTAAATGTCATTCGTTTTTTTCCCTGTTAATAGTGAGATAACTAGTCTTCTGCATACCTTGTTTCTATTATGGTTTAATACTGGAGATGTTCCTTGCCACTTGTAGTCAAGGAATTTCCAGGAATTGTGATTGCAGAGGAGCCAGAGTGGAAAGACAGTATCCGAGGTTCAAATGGCGTTGTAAATTTAGCTGGAGTGCCCATAAGTACAAGATGGTCTCCTGAGGTTGGTATCACTTGCTCATTTCGATCTTCTATTTCCATCTACTACCAATTTACCTTTTTACTTAGCAACTAGTGATTACTTGAATCAAAGATATAAACTTTTTGCCACACTACTTTAGAGACTCTTCTTGGGTCTCACTCACTGCTATGTAAATAATTTTTATTGTCAACCTCGTGCTTGTGACCTAGATTATCTGAAATATGATTAAAGGTATTAAATTAATCATAAAATGTTTTATCTTCAGCAAATAACATTAATGTATAATAAAATGAAAATTATTATAGTAGTAAAATTTTGTCTTGAATTGACAGAACATTATATGGTATGTGACTCATATGATGTGTCAATATCAGAAGTCAACATATTGTATATGCATCCCTAGAAGCTGGTGGTAGTTACTAACTTCTCATTGGACTGTAGATAAAGAAAGAGATCAAGGATAGCAGGATTAGAGTCACCTCGAAGGTAACCAGTTGTTTCTTATACAGAACCACTCATGCTGCAGTCAAAATTAAAATTCACTCTCTCTTATATTTCTTACTGATGCAAAAACTAATTTGGCCTTTCAACTAATTGTGAAGGTCATAGATTTAATAAATGATTTACCAGATTCCGTTCGGCCTACAGTCTTGGTTAGCGCGACTGCCGTAGGTTACTATGGTCCGTTCTGTCCTACTCTTTTTATCTGTTAATGCCAATGTGTCACACTTTTGCGTGTTTTCAATTAATTTCAGTGATTTTTGTTGCTCTGATAATATTAATCTGTCAAGCATTTTAGATATTCATGTGGAATTTGTTCGTATTCTTGAGACCATTAGATTCTATTGGAGCATTTGGATACCCCATGGAACTGGAGTGTCCTTAAATATTTCATTTTACCCATATGTTTTTTGAATTTTTCTCAGAGTTTAGTATGATTGTCATATTGCATGAGTCACAAAGTTCCACAGAAATTACAATTTGGTGCTTGGTTCTGAAAACTGTTTTCAATAATTGATAAAGTTCATACTGATACCTCCTCATGTCACGCTCCATTAGAAAACCAGTTAGCAAATATTATATTGTCATCGCATTGAGGCGATGCTCATTCTCTGCCTCTCACTGGCATATGATTTTCCATTGCTTTAAATGCTCAAGAATGTATAATCCAGATTTGAGGAGCCTATTTATATCTTGCATTGCTAAACCCAACTTCCAGTTTCCATTTTCTCATGTTTATTTATCTTAATTTTTTCATGTTCAGGTACTAGTGAGACACAAGTATTTGATGAACAAAGTCCGTCAGGAAATGATTACTTGGCTGAGGTATGCAATGACATAATTCATATTATGTATATTTTATGCATAATCAAAATTTATTATTTATTCATTTTTTAAATGAATGAAGTCCATATGAGGTGGTAAGATATGCTTAAAACTTCTAAAATTTTGGTACCATCTACCAATTGGTCTAGTGGTACTTTTCTTTCCAATGTTGGAAGAGGTCTAGAGTTCAAATCCCCCTCTCCCATTAATAAAAACTTCTAAAATTTCGGTTATGTAGTATGTTCCAGAATATTAACTAACTGGTTATCATACTACATAAATGTAATATGTATAATCAGGTTGCGTCAACAGCAGAGCCAAAAACCAAGGTGCAGAAGCCACCTGTTGAGGGATGGGATTGTGATTGTACTTCTACTTGAGAAAAAGGGAGAAGGAGAAAAATGAATGAAGTTGTTTTGTAGTAGGTTAATCCAGGAGTACTTGTTACATAGAACATGTGCGTAAGTTATTTTAAATCTGGAGATCCTTAAGGAATAATGGTAAACTATAGAACAATTGGAGAGATTTAGGGAGAGGTATTTGACCCTCAGTTCTTCTAACCCTTAAACGTGGAGAATTTTGTCCTTCTAGTGTAGAGACCAAAGTGGGTGAATCTCCTTATCAATAGTATATAGAAATTGATATAGGGAGCTTTAATACACAATTTCATATTGGATATATCATTCTTTTGCTGATCTGTTATTTAAAAGTTATAGGCTGCTTTGATGAAGATCTCGAGTTTGTGACTGTAACTTATGTATGCCTAACTTTTAACCGTGTGGTGCTTTCCTGATCAAGTAGAATATTTCCTGACTATGTTAAATCTTTTTTTTAAACGAAGACTGCTAAATCATGTTTAATCCCTGGTTTTCGTTGCGAACACTATCCTAGGTCTTTTGCAGTTCAGATGAGTTAGAATTATGTTTTATTGTTTTCCTTTTAGAGTTTAAAGCTCGTAGTCAATGGAGTCTACTGTTATTATGAATAGAACAATCAACCTTCAAACCGTGAACATATTCTCTGTTCGGCAACATTCTGCAATATATCATCACTTTTTATTACTAACAAATGACTTCCAATGCATGAAGAAATATGACTTCTGCTTGTTCTTTTTAGCTCAACATTTCATCCTCGTCTTAAACTAAAATGCAACCTTTCAGGTTTGCAGAGAATGGGAAGCAACTGCCCTCAAAGTAAATAAGGATGTGAGGTTAGCACTTATTCGCATAGGTGTTGTGCTTGGCAAAGATGGCGGTGCTTTAGGTATGAATAGTCCTGTCAACCCTTACTTCCCTTGTATGCGCATGAACTGAACTTATCTACTTTGACTGTGGCTATGACTGGTACTATGAAATGAACCCTTGCATGGTATGCGCACGTTGTGTATGACTAGTACTTCACCCTTGCATGTATGCTCATTAACAAAACTTGCCTACTTGGATTTTGGGTTTGTCCACTTTACTGTTTAATTATACATTGACCAATCTGGTTATGCTTAGGGTTGCATGATCTTTTCAGACCAAAAAAAACAAAGGGTTGCATGATCTCATAATTGTATTGGGATATTTTACGCATAGTTATCTCTAATGTTCTGTTTCTGTTGTCATCTAAGAAAAATATACTAGCAAAAATGTTCTCAAAAGTTGTATGATTTTTATCTTCTTAGCGTAACAGTTATACATATCTAGAATTTTGTTGGTTTCAATGTAACAAAGCTTCTCCTGCCTCACACATACTTACACCTTTGAGCTTCTACAGCTAAAATGATCCCTCTCTTCATGGTGTTTGCTGGAGGACCCTTGGGCTCTGGAAAACAATGGTATTTTTCTTAAATTTCAGTCCTTTGTAAGGGTAGTCTGTCAGTCACACTTTTGTGCTACTAACACTGTACGGTTGGCATTTTCCTCTGGTTCAGCATTAAAAAGGAAAATTTAAGCATTTCAATGATGTTAATGAATTAATATAACTTGACAAATTATGTTTTTACTTTCAACATGTATTATCTACTGGATGCCTGTTTGATGAAGAGAAGAAAATAAATGCACCGAAGATATCAACAAATGTATTTATTATTCTCAATGTGCTGTAGGTTTTCCTGGATTCATCTGGATGACATAGTGAACCTGATATATGAAGCTCTATCCAATACATCTTATAAAGGTAAAGATTTCATTATTTGTAATTTTAATTAGTTTTAGCGAAGTACAAAAGGATTGATGTTGGAATAAAACCAACATACTGGTGCTGAAGCTGATGATTCCTTCTGTTTTCATCTAAAGTTTGCTAGCACATGGAGATAACTACACTTCTAAAGAGTTCTAGTACTCTATTAATCTAACATACCATTTCATATTATTATATCTTGTTCCCTTCTCAAAGCTACTCAAATTAACTGACATATGCAGTCACAGTAGATATCAAATGTTTTCTTTACCATACCTGCATACAAATACATGATAAATGTGTTCAGCTTTTCAACAATTACCAAAATCTCAGGAGTTATCAAATTTTCACCTAGGCTATCCATGTGATACTGGTTCTCGGAACTTTTCAATATATTGAACGTGGTTGTTAAAACCTTAATCTTAGGAGTTATCAATGGAACTGCACCCAACCCAGTTCGATTTGCAGAAATGTGTGAACATTTGGGAAATGTCTTGGGTAGGCCTTCATGGCTGCCTGTACCAGATTTCGCCCTGAAAGTGGTCCTTGGAGAAGGTGCTTCTGTGGTAAGAATTTTCTTTATCTTCTTTTCAATTTTCTCCTGAGTGCATATTGCTCAGAAACTCAATAAGGTCATTGCAGGTTCTGGATGGGCAAAGGGTGCTTCCAGTTAAAGCCAAAGAATTAGGCTTCACGTTCAAGTACTCTTCTGTTAAAGATGCTTTAAGATCCATTATTTCACAATAAGTGACCTAATGTGACAGAGGAAACATCCATGGTTCTTCATTCTTTTAGGTATTGTTATAATAAGTTGCAGAAGAAACATCTTTCTTTTTCATTCTTTTTGTTAGATATAAGAAATTCAGATTCAAGTAATCAAGTGAGATTTGGGTCCTTGTATTGTAGATGCTATGGATCGGCTGTCCTGGCTCCTTAACCAATTACAAAGTTTTTAAGTGGTTACTATATTCTCATGCCTCTAAAAACAAATTTTGAAAGTGTTTTATATAGATCACACTACTTCCAACTATATGGCGTTCTCTTGATTCTGCATCATCATCAATTTTTATCAGGATAGGGGGATGGGTAGAGTGTGGGACGATGGCTAGGGAGGAAGGAAAAGCAGGAGAAGGTTAGGGAGAAGGGTTGTGGGTAGGTGGCCGAGGCTGTGTATAATTTGGGGCTTTGAACTTGTTTTCAATTTTTAATTAAGTAATTTGTTTATTATTGTTTACCCTAAAAATATCCGAGCCTTAAAATAGACTTGAGATTATGTCATTTGCGAGTGTGCCAATATTAGCAGTATAAAACCCAAAACTTGAATGAGAATTGTAAATTGCGCACCAAGTAAATAACTTTAATCAAAGCAATTGTGAATTGAATGGATGCTCTTTTCTATGCCCCAAGACAAGACAAATGAATACTTTATAATCTCTCTAATACAAGGAAAGGGAATAGAAAGCAAACAAAACAGTAAACAAAAAAGGATCATAATAGATAATCTTATAAGAATGGGGACTACTACCACCTTAAAATTGGTATTTAGGTGACGAGGGGTAAATTTTACGACACAAACAAAACGCAACAACCTTCACACACTTTAGACCTTGACCAAATACACTTATGACTAATCAACTGCTGGTCATGAACAACCACAATCAAGAATACACACAGAGCATGCCACAATGTACCTGCAACCCTAGAAGATTACTAGTGACAACCTAAGCACTCATAATAACCCGTCAATCTAGGCATCCATTGTGCTAGCAACAACTATGGTGAAGGTGTGTGAAATCATCATAATCAAGTAAACACCAAACAGCAGATAATAATGACTAGTCAACTACAAAGGACACAAACACAGAATTCATACAATGACTAGTTAACCACCAAGAACACAAACCCAGAAAAATTACAAAGATGCAAATCAGAAATTGTTCACCCAGAAACCCACCATTGGGAAAAACTGGGGGTCATCAACCGACCAGGCAATCCACTAAGGGCCAGTTTGGCATTGTTGTGCTGTGAAAATAATCACTGTCGAATTTTCTGTATGAGAAATCAACTGTGAAAGAAAGCATTTTAGCGTTTGGTAAACTTCTTGTTAAAAGTGATTTTAGTATAATAATCAGTTTCCGAGTGTTTGGTAAATTTTTATGTAAAAGTGCTGTGAGTTGTGTATAATGACACAAAATGGTATAAAGTTATTATTTAAGATTGCAATACCTAAACTCTGGATGTTACGACAGGAACTCACAAATAGATATAATAACAACTCAAAATTGTTATGACCAATTGAAATTCACATATGGATATAATAATAACTCAAAATCTTCCCATCATGCTGCTAGTCCAATTCACTTTGACCCCTCATTATCACTTTCCAGGTGTGTTATGTGTGCTCGTACCGCCTTGTTTTTGTTTTTTTCAATTAATATAGCATTTTATTGAAACCCATAAAGAAAGTAACAAAATACACCAAAGATCCAAAAAAACCAAGGAGATACAATTAATATGGTATATATGCACAGTCCTTTCCATATATTTTAAGTAAATTTAGAAATTAAAATAGTATAGATTGATGATGTTTTCAATTATCCTCTTTCAAAAAGGTATGATGAGCCCCCTCTTTCCAGATGCAATATGTGACTTATCCATTAGAACCCAGGAGGTAGGATGAGTACCCCCCACTTTTTTTTCTTTTCTGTTTTTATAAAATCAATTCATAGCATTCCATTGAAACCCAGAAAAAGAGTAAAGAAAATACACCTGTGATCCAACAAAACCAATAAATTCATGAGGGTGATGCGGAGTAAAACCTTGTTTGAGAATACAACCTAGAAATGATGGGAGAAAATTAAAAAAAAGAAGATGAGAAACAAGCCTTAGATCTAGGTAGCAGGAATCGTGGAGACAATTTCAAGAAAAAGGTGTGAAAGAGAAGAAAAAAAAAAAAAAAAAAAAAAAAAAAAAAAGAAGAAGAAGAATAAATGAGTACTAATCATGAGGGAAGAGAAAGGAGGGTTCATAAAAGACACTGGATGTCATTTGTAAAAGCATAGGAGGATAATTCAAGCATTTATGAAACATTCATTAAAGAGCACTGTTCCCCAAACCGCTTTCCGCATAAGCGGAAATGAAATCACCATCCTCGGAAATGAAATCACCATCCTAGCAGCTTTTTCAAATCGATGTGGCTAACAGCAATTATTCTTAAAATTAGATTATTTTTTCATTTACCAAACAGGTAGGTGGAAGAAACTTTCCAAGAAAGTGATTTTTGCTCCAAATAAACAATGTCAAACATGCACTAGAAAAAGATTCTTACAAAAGAACACAAGCAAGCTCAAGAAAACCCTATATCTATTTAGAAAGATGAGCTATACCTCCTTTGTGCAATCTTCTTCTCTAACTTAGCAAAACTTGAAGCTCAATTCTTCATGGCAATGTCAGCTCCTTCTCATCGCATGGCACTAGCTTGCAAGCTCCAACTCAGACAGAAACCAAAATTTGGATTCAAAGGAGAATGACCAATTTCTTCAAGAAACCATACTTTTGAATAAATCAGTCTTGAATCTAACCTAAATTTAAATGAGAGAGTGTTTTAAGTAGCTATATGCATATTTGTATTTCAAATGCAGTTTTTCAAAAAGAAATCAATTTGGAAAAACTCATGGATGAAAATATGATTCTCTCTTGAAGAAGAAGAAGAGAAAGATGGCAAGCAAAACTTTCCAAAACTTCCACCCAAAAGAGACAGCAGCCAAAAGATGAATTATTTGGCCTTTACATCCAAAAATTCCCTAGGTCAGAATTGACACATGGCAGCAAAGAGAGAGAGAAGAATATGACAAAAAAGTTGGTTATCCAGCTGGATATCCTACAGAGTAAGGATGACTAGTCATACGAGAAACAGGTGACTAGTCATCATTTTATGAAATCAATTTAATGTAATGTGATGCAATGCACAATTTACCTTTGTCAATTTGCTTGAACCTCCATAGGATAGTTGTTAGTTAAGAACATCTAGAAAAGCTATTCTTAATCTAAACTTGAGTTTGATAAAAACAATAAAAGTCTTATTACAAAATTGTCAAGGAAAACCAAAAGAAAAACTCAAAATGCATACATTAACAATCCAATTCAATTTTAATTGAAATACTAGTAACGAACCAACGTACACTCCTATGTCGATGGGTATGAGTTTGTAATGACCTCATAATTTGGGGGGTTTACTGTAGTTGATCTAGGAACCCTAAAATTAACTGAGTACATCCTACTACCAAACTATTTATTGAATTACTAATTTACCCTAATATAAAATGACCAAAAAGGAAATATTGAATTGTGAAACAAATAAAATTTTAATTAGTACACCTTACTCACTATATTCAACCCTTATCATACGTATAAAATTCTTCGTATTGCTTGGTGCTCACGAATAATGCAGCGAGTATTAGTTTAGTTTAGGATTGGTATTACGAAATTAAAGATTTTGATGAAACCTAAAATCTAAAAATATGGCACAAATTCATGTAAAAAGAGAAACTTGGTTTAGGATTGGTATTAAAGTGTTGTACCAGAGCTATTTTTGGTAGTTAAATAGGGTGTACTTAATTAATTTTACATTTTGATTAAAATATAGATTTTCTATTTAAACCCCATACTTCTCTTTGTTCACCGCAATACTTAAATCATTAAGCTGTAAGTTTTATTATTGTCTAAAAAGACAAAAAAGGTCATCCAACTTAATACTTAACCCTAATACATTTATACACACACCCCACCACTTCATATTAGTTTTAGAAAAATACAAACTCTTCTACATCCTATTGTCATATTACTCTTCTCTTTAAAGATATAAAACATTAAGGAGCCTACCTCTTTAAAATTTGCGTGGGAGCTGATGGAATTGATGTTTACTGTACCTTCATGTAAGTGAAATTTGTTCTTACCGAGGTAAGTTGCACCTTCTTCTTTACAATGCAAATAAATATCTCCTCATTTAATTTCTAATTTAGAAATCTTTATTTGGTTTAGGATCTCTTTCCATTGACAGTAAACGATATACTGTAATAGTTAGCGAGTCGATCTGTCTTGCAGCAAGCACATGGACCTTCATCTTCTTCTCAAAAAATAAGGGCATTCTTCATCTTTTCCCCTACTATTCAGTTTAGGTATATGCTTTTTTCTATAGTTTTAGTAGGAAAATAATGGGGTTTAAATAGAAAAACTCTTCTTTTTTTTTCTTCTTTTTTTTTTCTTTTTTTTCAATTTGTTTTGTATTTAAGGGTAGTTTGGGAAGATAGTGGGGTTTTCTTAGAAATTATGAAAATTAAAATTAAAATTTGGGGTAAACAAAGAGAAGTATGGGGTTTTAAATAGAAAATCTCTTAAAATATTAGGATTAACTTATATTATATAGTGTACTCAGTTAATTTTAGGGTTCGTTTAGTAGCACTCAAAAAAATTTGTGAAATGGTGGAAGTTAATACAGCCTGAAACGACCCTGAACAGAGTGTCGTTTAATCCTTCAATACTGTGCCATAACTTTACCTCCTCCCACGAGCAGAGACGCAAAGCTCGGAGACTAGTTCTATGCCAAAACCTCACGTCACGCCTGGTAATGGTATCTCATCAACTTGGACGACTCTTGCCCACCACCTCGTGATTGCATTAATTTCTACAATAAATTAAATTTCTCTCCAGATTTTCTTCTTTGTTTTTTCCTTTTTATGTGCATTGCATGCATTGTTTCCCCGAAAAGAAAAGGCGCTTGCTCTTGAAGACCCAGTTGAGCCAGTGCTTTCCTTTGGCAGAGAGACTAGCCTTTTTCAACTCTTTAAGCTCTGTTCTATCTGGGTTTTTGCTAAAATGGAGGTGGGTCTTGTTGGGTTGCTCAGAACAGCTTGGATTGCAGCGATACTGCCTCTACTCATAGCTTCTGTACCTTCTTCTAGGCTGAGCTCATTTCATGGAGCTGTTTTGGAATTTGCCAAGAGAGGGAAGATCATGAAATCTTCTTCTCAGGTTAGTGATTGATTGCTTAACATGATTGATTGATTGTGATTGTCTTTTTAGGTTTATGGTCTGTTTAGTTGGGGAGAAAGTGGAAGAAAATAAATAAGTTTAAAGGTTTAAATTTTAAATTGTAATGGGTTTTGGAGGATGTAAACTCTTAACTAAGTGAATTTTGTACCGGGCTGAGTAGAAGTGAGGAGGCTTTCCCACGTTTACTTTTCATTTCCAACATTTTCTCCATAACAAACAGAGATTTTCTGAATTTAGAATATTTCCTTGGTTGATAGCATGATCCATGAGTTTGAATGATTCATATTCTTGCCTGTATAGTTTTCAAAAAATTGCAGCAATGGAATCTTCTCTATTTAGTTTTGTTCTTTAGTTCCTTGCATGATCAATTTTCCCATTTTCAAACTTCAGAAATTTTCCTGTTCTTGTATTGTAGAAGTTCACAGTTCCTCAAAAGTTCTTCTGCCATTTCTATCTGGTGGCTGTAGTGTGGACAACCTTACTCCTTGTTACAACTGGGATGTATGCGTATAAAACAGTGCCATTGGTTTATCCTACATTTCCCAGCCAATTGACTGGAGGTTCACACATCTTTTCATGGCATAAGTCTCATTCGATTCCTATAAGTTATAGATATGGCGTTTGGCGTTCTGTCTTTCTGCTTTTATTGATGGAAGTTCAAGTCTTGAGGCGCCTCTTTGAGACAATATATGTATTCAACTATAGCTCCTCTGCTCGGATGCACATTTTCGGATATCTGACTGGACTCTTGTAAGTTATTTCAGAAACCCTTGTCCTTTCAATTTTTTGCTATGATAGTTGGCTTTGTGCAATACATATATTGATTTGCAGCATGCATATTTTCAACTGCTTTCAAGATGTCATTAATTTACGGCATCTTTAATGGTATTGTTGTTATAAGTTGAGATACCCCTTCCAAATTATACCTGTTCGTTGTGAAAACCAAATCTCAAATGATAAAGCGTAAGAAAGCTGGCTGGAATTCATATTTTCTATAACTGCTACTGCAGTTTTCCATAGGTTAAGCCTGGTTAAAACATCTCCGACTTTTTTCTTTCTTGCAAGATGTACTCTCTTCTAGATAATAGATATTGTTTTAATAATTGTAAAATTTAGGAGTCATATATTTATGGGAACTCATAGCTGACTAACCTTTTTGTTCTGGAATGGGAAATGTTTTGCAGATGTCAATTTCCCATGTTCTTTCACGTTTACTGTATACATGATAGATGTTCTACTGATTTATGTTATTTTCTGATGTTAGCTTCTACACAGCAGCACCGTTGTCACTTTGCTGCAATAATGCTCTGGAGGTGTATAAATTTTCATTGAATGCAGTGGCTGAGTTCATTGTCAAAGGCAAGACTACTATGCAACACATGGAATTTGATTGGTTGGAATTTGTGAGTTCTCTTTTGAGGCTTCGTTGGCTCCAATGGACTGGTGCGGTTATATTCTTTTGGGGCTGGATCCATCAGCGCAATTGCCATGCAATTCTTGTATGTTTCATCACACACACATACTCTCTCTTCTGCTGTTCGAGTAAACATATATTCTATGCCCTAAGAAATCATACTAAGTTGTTTAAATTTGAAGAAATATATAAAACAAAATGGAATAACCTGACGTCCACGAGGTGCTGCAGAAATATATACTGAACTGAATCATTTCATACAGCTGATTAGAGGAATTTAAATCTGTTGTTTCTTATTTCAATCCTCTTTGCATTCACTTTTATGCTGTCCACTGACTTACGAATATATTTAACAGGGCTCATTACGAGAACACAGTGGACAAAATGATGAATATGTGATTCCTCATGGTGATTGGTTTGAAGTCGTTTCATCTCCACACTATCTGGCTGAGATAGTAAGTCTCATGCTTCCCTTCACTGCCTGCCTCAGGAGTATTCTTTTGTCATGATTAACTTTGAACTTCTTCCTGAGTCTTGATTTATATGGTTAATTGCTTTTCTGGTGATGATGAAGGTTATATATGCTGGCCTTGTGGTTGCTAGTGGAGGAACAGACCCTACAATCTGGTTACTTTTTGGATTTGTGGTACGATTTTTTTTTGTACTAAAAATATAATGTACATAAACATGCATACAGAAGAGTGCTCGCGTGCGCACACACGCACACGAGAGAACAAGAGTCCACACACGCACAAGAGACCGATGTCCTCTATAGTGACTTTACTCTTTCATTGGGGTATCTTTCAGGTGTCAAACTTGGTATTTGCAGCAGCGGAAACACATAGGTGGTACCTCAAGAAGTTCAAGAATTATCCCAGTAATCGGCTTGCCATTATTCCATTTGTATACTAAGTGCAAACATATAATAGCTTGTGCGAAGGTAAGTGATCGTAAAGCTTTGTTATACACACTTGAACAATCACTATGGTAGCTTCTTTTCTGCCCACAGCAAGCCGACGGAAAGATTGAAAACTTTGATGCCCTTCACAAACTTTTTTTCTTGTTTAACAGAAAGAAAGGTTGGATAGGGGAGCCTCTGACAAGTCTCCAATGTACAACTCTGTGGATCTTGACATACAAGCAAGTACATTGTAACTTGATACTCCGTAAATTTCATCCAAAGAAGCATGTAGCAACAAATAGGTATGCAATCTGTAATTGGTACACCAAACTATACATATGATTTACTTTAATGATCATTCTATTAAATATTAATACCAAACAAATACATATGATTTACTTTGATCATTCTATTAAATATTAATACCAAACAAATACAACAGCCTTCATTTTATTTAGACTTTTCTTTGCAAGGCCTAATGCAAAGATGTACAAAATTATGGAGTTTTCGAACTAACCGATACAATGAGCATTGTTGGAGGACATAAAGCTCAGTTTATTGCAAGTGAAAATTCATAAGGGTTTCTGTTTTGCTTCCCTTTTTGTTACCCTTTGAAGAACATGTGGAAGCAGTGACTTGGAGGGTTTCGAATTATGCAGATTATGCATAAACATCTACTCCCCAAGATAAGGAAGGTAGAGTGGTCCTGAATTTCTTGTCTATAGTATTGATCAGCTCTATGTCCTCTTTCTCCAGCTTGAAGTTAAGAATTTCCAAATTCTCTTTCAACCTCTCAACTTTTGAGGACTTTGGAATCACTGGTGTGCCCCTCTCAAGGTTCCACCTCAGAGCAATCTGGGCCACACTCCTTTTGTACTTTTTAGCCAGACCCTGAAAAAGTAAGAGAAATAGGTGAACAAATATTTTATGCATGCCTAACGATCTGGTGCCAGAATGAGAATCTGGATCGCACGAGAACCTGGATCACACGTTCATCTGATCGCATGATCGGTCGTTCGTATCTGTAGAAAGAGTATACTTACAATGAGAACTGGATCTTCCAGAGGTGAAATGGAACCAAATGCTTTGACATTAGCCGTAGCACCTCCTAGAGGGGTGTGGGCCATAGGTACAACTCCATGTTTCTTACAGAATCTGACGAGAGATTCACGCTGGAAATAAGGATGAGTTTCAAATTGGCTCACTTGAGGCTTGATTTTGGCGTAAGATAAGCAATCTCTGGTCAGAAAGAGCTCGTAGTTGCTGCATACAGTATCATCATTTTTCTGTTAGGACTCGAGACCAATTGAAAAAAAAAAATTCCCCACCAAAACAAGAAAAAACATTAACATAAAAGAGCTGATGATCATTTGATTCAGTGACATTCACCTGAGACCAATGCTACGAACTAGGCCGAGGTCAACGGTCTTTTCCATGTCGTGCCATGTAGTTTCCAGGGAGACTGTTACGTCTATGTCCAACACCTTATTCTCGTCCAAAAGACTAGCAGTTGTACCAACTCCTGTGAGCACACAAGCAATGGGTCAAATACCAATTCATTGCAATCTAGATCATCTATCGGTTTTAGACACATGCCATGTTTTAATTGGATTATCCTAACACAATCACGAAAGAAAACGAGAGAGAGAGAGAGAGAGAGAGAGAGAGAGAGAGAGAGAGAGGTACCGCTATGCTTGGTGGCTAATGGGTAGTGAACAAGGTAGAGATCCAGATAATCTAACTGAAGCTTCTTCAGGCTATTTTTGCAGGCCTCAACCACATGCCCATGGTCTGAATTCCAAACCTGCAATTATACACACATGAACATAACAAATTATATGAGATAAGGTCTAATAATAATACTACTCTTAAAATTAAGCAACTTCATTAGATTGGCAATTAGACTACTGGCCTTGGAGGTGATGAAAAGTTCCTCCCTCTTGACAAGCCCACTCTGAATTGCTTCTGCAATTGCGTTCCCAACGTCTATCTCAGTCTTGTAATGAGCTGCAGCATATATATTCAGAATTTAATAAATAAAAGTGACAATATTTTTAAATTATAAAACAAAATAACAAAATTTACATTAGTTTTTAGGGTCACCAGGATTGTACTTTTTCTTTTTTTTGGTCGGGATTTTCCTATATCCTATGTGAAGCAAACATTTGACTGGTCCAAAAACATAGGAACGATCGTATGTGCCACTCATTTCTTTTCCTTCCCTCATCAAACTGCACCTTAGTTATTCTAATTTGGCATGTTGTCAGTGGTGCACTTTTTTTTTGTCCGGCCAAACAAAGGTACCATGTAGGTTTAGTCAGTTGTCCATAGTAGTGAGCTTTAGAATGATTTAAACTATCATTTTGTTCTTTTTGACTGAATTTAAACTATCGTTTGTAAAATAAATATATAAATTATAAATAAATTTAAAATTTAAAATTTAAAAATTTTAAAAATTTAAAAATTTAAAATAAAATAAAAACCTTGTTTTTTACACTCAACAACGCCTATTATTACAGTAAGAAGAAAAAAAACTTGTTTTTATTTGTCTTTATTCACAAGATGTTGGAATATTAATGTAAAGATGAAGAAAAGATAGTCAATCTTGGAAAGAAAATCAAAAAGAAGGTGAGGGGATGGAAGGGTTCATACCAGCAGCATCAAAATGGCGATAGCCGAGCTTGATTGCGTTTAAGATGGCGCTCCTGAGCTCGTCTTTCTCCAGGCGCCAGAGGCCGAGACCGATGACGGGCATCTCGAAGCCATTGTTGAGAGTTATGGTGGACATATTTTCTCACTCTCCAAACACAAACCGACTTCTGCAGTCTTTTTTTCTCTCTCTCTCTTTTCTCTCGTGTATGAGTATTTGCAGTGTTCTCTCTCGTGTTGTGAGTACTCAAACCTCGTGCCCCTTGTGACCTTATATAGCTGCATGGGCATGAAATAATTAAGAAAGCAGGCAAATTTAAATAAAATAAATGCAAATAAAATAAAATAAAAAGAAACTTTATGTTGGAAAAGGTGATTGGGTCCACATGAATAATGAAATGAACAGTGATTCTTTTAAATTTTAGCCCGGATGTTATGGGTCTTTATAATCTTTCGGGCTGACGTTGCGGTCTCTTATTGCTCGTTTGATAATATTTTCGTTTTAAAAAAAAATAAATTGGGAAATTGAAAACTATTTGGAATTATTTGCTTTTGGTTTTTGGTTTTCATTTTAGGTAATATTCTGTGCACACATTCTCTCCCTCATCCATCCTCCTTCCCCTTTCCTCCAATCATCCATGCCTCCCATTTCATCCAATCGTTCTCCCTCTCTTTTGTCGTACATGTATTTTCTCTCTATCTTTTATTTATTACCAAAATAAAATAATAATAAAAACCGAAAACAAGGAATGAAAGTGTAACCAATCAGGTTGTAACAGTCTAGGTTGGCGTGTTGAGTTGCACATCGGTAAACTAATCCAGGCTTCAGAAGTAGTTGCAGAGAGCCTTAGTGACCAGTTTCTTTTAGGGTATAGCGACGAGGCGGCTTGCGGCTCCTGGGTCGTGACACAGGTCTTTTATAAAAAATAAATGAGAATCAAATGTAATTTTGCAATACCCAATGAGATAAGGTAAGCAAATTATGATGTTTTTGAGGGCGGGAGAAATCAAACCTATGATCTTAGATGACTACAAGACTCATAATTCATTACCCTAATAATGAATTATGATGTATTAATCTCAATTTGTAAGAAGAGCGACTCTACGTAAAGTTCTTCTATGAAGTATAGTTTTGTATCACTTATTGTATATATAATATCTTCAGGCAAAGTTCTTCTACGAAAAAGTTTGTTTTTTTATCACCTTTGTGTACAAATCATGTTTATATTTCGTCACCAATTAGGTTAAGTGATTATGAGATACATAACACATAGTTATATGAAATTAATATCAATACCACAATTATACACGAACTTACTATATTACGTTAGACACATGACGAGGGACATAACATAGAATGCATGATTGTTATGTAATCAACTTATAACCGACTACGAGCATGATTGTATGTAATCGACTTATAACCGACTATAACCAACTATAACCGACCATAGATAATGAAAAATTCTCCATGCCGACCTCGTTATCAACACCACAATCATGTATCGAACTGAACCATACTCTGCCACACACATGAATGAGATAAAAGACAAAGCGTTTTAAATATATACCATCCTCCTTCCTTTCTACCCACACAAATATCAATCCCCTAACCTATAAGAAGTCAAGTACACTCCAACCACGCTTTGGAAAATATTGTCTGTACCCTCCAATCTCTAGCGGGCTTGCGAACGAAAGGGGATTAGGGCATACAGGTGTCAGGTGAAAACCTAGCTCATCCTAGTTTTGTTGCTTCTTGGGCCTTCCTAGCTGAGAGTTACCCTGCCCTAAGGCCAGTACAAAAATATGGCTGCGAAAAGTCCCCAAACGCTGGCTAAAATAGGCCCAAGTTTTGACAACCTTTTATCATTTATCCTCTGCACAATCTTTGTCCTCTTTTAACCAACCATTTCTAGGCCTTGGTGGCCTTGTATTGACCTAGTGATCCTTATTAATCATACATTTTTTTTTTTTTTTTTTTTTTTTTTTTTCACACATCAGGGCTGGTGAAATTGCGTCTCTTTGTTTTTTCCGATTGACAGGTGGGCCTGTGGCTTGGTCAATTGAAAATCGACAGGCATGTGCAACCCTAATTAGAACAGTGACATAAGTTACGTGAACGGTGGAGAAAGACCTCTTTGAGATAGAGAAATATGGAGAAACTGTTTACAGTTTTTTGGTTTGGAAAAACCGTTGCTATTACAAAAGCAACAATCTGAAGGTTTGGGGAAGCATTTTCCAATATCTACAGGGTATATTCTAATTCCTATCAACAACATGCTTCGAGAGGTTTAGATTTATTCAAATATGAGCCACAAGTTTCAAGAACTTCACCGTTATTCTCAGTGTTAGTGGGGGTGTCATGGTAATTTATCGCTTGTTACGTTAACACAACTCAAATTCAACATAAAGTTAATTAACGAGTTATAGGGTTAATCGTTATTTAACACGGACACGAAGATAGCACGAACACTAAACGAATGAGATTATCGACAAGCATGAGAAACAAAACTTTGACAGATTAAAGAGAATGGTTAACTAATCTTTTCAACTTCTTAATAGATGATGTACGAGCCACTGCATAATTATAGGCTCAGTTTTGAGTTTACCATTCCAAGCCATGTACATGGATTTACTCAGTTTCCATATTAATTTTTTTTATATATATAATTGGGTTAATAGTTTCTTATTATCATATCATGTCAAAATAAATCAACAAAATCAAATTTTGCTCTTATTAAAGGCCTTAAAATAATTATATATAAAATATTGTGTTAACGGATTTACTTTGTTTCCACTTTTAATTCTCTTGATATGAAGAACTTGGATCACTATCTGATTTAAATTCTATACGTTTTGATTTAAATTCTATGCGTTTACTTAACTAACTGTCAAGGAAGAAGAATAATTAAACGACTTCGAGTATTGATATTAATCTGAATGAAAAAGAACGTCATCAAGTAAAAGAAAGCAACTGCATGCCGAAAGGAGGAGTTCGAACTGAATATTCTGACAGGTATACCAAGGGACTCAAGGATTGACAGAGCTCTAATGGAAGGATGAAACCTGGGATCTGAGAGCATCTGGTCTGGAATATGTGTTGAAGTCCGTGAAAAAGCTAAGTAGATGTTTGGTAACCATTTCGCTTTTCTTTGTTAGAGAGAGAAGGAAAATATATTATAAAAGGAGAATAGTTACAAAACGAGCCAAAAGATTAGCCTTTCTTGATAACTTTCTTGATAACTTGTATGTCTTGTAGGCCAATTACTCTCAATTAGAACTAAGAAAATTGGTAACGCGACTTGCTTTAAAGTGAGTCCCTACTTGGACTTGCTGCCAACTGATGATCTTAGCGCAAGGATTAATGTTAAGCTTGGCCCATTTTATACATTAAATATGAGATGACAGTAAGTCCATATAGGGACTCTCCTTTGATCAAGCCTCGTTAGCATTTTTCTTCAGACTAATTTCCAAATTTGCATGCCACACTTTCTCGTATGGAATTTGCGTCTTGTGGCCCAAATAATCATGCCTTCTCCCATGGTTACCATTTGTAGGCTCCTAATTTATTAGGGGCCAACCAACTACCTAATCAAGGTCCAGCTAGTCGACCTGAACGTAATCTACACTAAAATATGAGGGTGAGCATCACATACGTTCATTTGACAGCATAAAGCACCTCGATTAGGTTTTAAAATGAAAATGTTAAAGTACTTTCGGTTTAGTGTAGTACACTAAAAACATTTAAACCAATGCACATAAAAAACATTTATCATATTATAAATTATTTGATACGCTCGCAACTTTCACAATCAATTTTTGGGATCCCGGTAACATCATGTTACTAGACGTCACTCACGGTTTGTGGAAGCCATGAGGACACACACCACAGTTAAGTACTCATAAAGGGAAAATTAAAAAGGGATTTTAATTCACAATGTATGCACACCGATACGGTTGGATGGAAAGAGAATAAAGATAATGAGTATAGAATTATTAATTTAATTAAGAGAATGCGGGTTAATTTGGGCCTAAACTACAAACGAGTTCAAGGCCCGTTGGGCTTGGACTCATTGAGCTAGCTATGACATATGGCATAATAGGATGACCACATGAGTCTAAGAGGCCCAACATGAAGAGTTAGGGTTTTTGAGCTAGGGAGTGAGAGCATATCAAGCTCCTCCTTAGCTTGCATCATATCTACCTCCTTGCCTTGGTATGGAGAAATTGTAGGTCACCTCTCGTGGTGATTCCTTGGTAAACCAAAGAAGGCCTATCCTACAAGGTGATCAACTCAAGAATGTTTAGAGTAGAACAATCTAAACTACGACTAAAAGATACTTGGGTTTAGTTTTTTGTTGCCTAGAGATTATATGTAATCTCACATTTGTGGTTCAATGAAACTAAAGTTTTAATATTTCCTTTACCCTAATCGTAAACACCCTAGGTCGAGTTAAGTTAGTATTCAAGCTTAATCGAATCCTAAGTGTCCTAGAGTAAGTTTAGGGTTAGGGTTAGAGACTTGGAAAGGGTTTTAGAATAGGTTCGAAAAATGTTCGGGGTTAGGGTTTCTGGTTCGGAACATGGAATTAGGTTTTGGAGGCTAAAAACCATTTGTGGAACACTAAAATAATTTTTAAAATGTTTTTGGTTATTTTAAAATAATTTTCTAGGATTTTAAATAATTGAAACTATTTAAATAATTTTGGAAATTAAAGATTAATTTTTAAAGTCTATAAAATTTAAATATAATTAATTACTATTTATTAATTTTTAAAGTTTGAAATTAATTAAAATATTTAAATACTAATTATTCACTCAATAAGCACTAATTAAAATCTAATTACTAATTGAATTAATTAAATAAGGCCAAGATTTTACTTAATTATAAAACTTAAACTAAGTAAACTAATTAGGAAATTATAAGACTATTTAACTAAATTAATAACTAAATTCGAAATGATTAAATTAATTCATTAAAACTACTTAATTAGCATTTTTCGTATTATACATGTACGTATGTATTTTTCAAAAATACTTCCATTTTTCGTACAAGTACTATGAAATACACATTTTTTAAAATCAAACATACAATACACGTACATACGTATTCTTCATGTTTGATATACACAGTTCTTACAAAAATTTCAATAATACATACAAAATTCATGTATTGTAAAAATTATATTAAAATATTATATAGTGGCCGAACTTTACATTTGTACTTTTCACAAATTTTGTTGAATAAAACATGTATGTATTTTATTCATACTTTTCTCTTTCCATACTTTACTAACAATTAATTAAACCAAACAATAATTCTAAATTAACAAAACTCATAATTAAACTAACTAAACTATAATTAAATTAATTAAAACTAACTAATTGAAATAAAATAAAATTAGAGAGAGATTACCTTAAGTAGGAGTGAGAGGCTCTCAAGTCGAAGAAATCAGTAAGCAAGTTAAGAAAAAATAAAAGTTGGGGGGGATATATTTATACGCACAAGGGGAGTGATGATTTGAATAATAAAAAATTCGGTTCAAATAAGGGCTCAGATCGAGTTTAAAGGGCGGTGCCATCTGGGCCATCGGAGAACCAACGGCTGTATTGCGCCAAAAGGATGAAAATGACATGTCGTCTATCTGCTACACGCAGCACGCATTGAACGGCCCAAATCGAGACAACGGAAGATGATCAACAGTTGAGCGCACAATGATTCTGTACGCAACTGTCGACGGGTCGACACGCAGATATTAGTTCGGGTTGGGTCTGCTAATTATAAAGCGGGTAAACTGTGAAATACCTTCTTGAACTGTCACGTTTGTCGAAATTTTCACTCTAAATTAAATTTTCAGGCAATTTAGCATTTGTATTAAATTTATTCGTCAATTTCATATCTGCGTTAGTTTTTTCACAATTCCATTTAAATGCTGATCAAATATAAGGGTAAATTTGACATTTTACAAGTTTTTTTTGGTGGAATATTTAACAAGATATTGGGGTAAAATAGGAACAAAAGGTAATTTGATTAGAACAAAGTAGAGTAATCAGGCATGTCTTTCAACAGAATTAAGTGGGGGAAAATAACACAACCTCGAGTATCATAACTGGCGAAGATCTATCCCAGCCTTCTTGGCATCGGCATCAATTTCGTTTTTCTCTATCGTTTTCAATGCTTAGTTTAAGAAAGCGCTTCCCAGCTTCCCAACAAACCCTCTTGTATTGTAGGTTCACAAACTGCAACTTTTTAGTCTTGTGAGCTGAGAAGGAAATCTTGTTTGCCCTGTTTGATTTCTTCCCAGTGGAAGGACAAATTCTACGGGCAACAATGGGTTGAAGGGCAGGTGGGGAAGAGGTGGAGATGGGCTTGGGCAGCTGAGACGACATGTCGTAGGAGATTTTGATGCCACCCAGCTGACTGGTAAGGAAAATATAAAAATATCAAATAGAGAAAAAGAAAACCTCCCACCAATTTCTTCTCCCTCATTTCCCAACCACCACCTACAAACCACTCCTCCCTCCGATTGTGTTGAAATAATTAAAAGTTCCAATTACTTCTTTCCATATAGTAATTAAAAGTCGAAATAATTTATGATGCCTTTTTTCTACCAAATTAACATACTATATATTAAAGCATACCAGCAGATAAGTATTTATAGCTTTACCATCAGCATTCAGCACCCCACCCCTCCCCCCCCAACAAAAAAAAAAAATCTTCCTCATTCGAGCTCTTTGAAGAACCAGAGGAAAAAAATCAATTTTTAATTTAACAGTGAAGCATATGCTTAATATGGTATTTTTTTAACAGAGATTTAAATGGAAATTGTCAAAACTTAATGGCATGGGTGAAAATTGGTAAATAAATTTAATACAAGGGCTAAATTATCTGAAAAATTAAGAAATATTTAGTCATATATCTATTTTTAGCATTAATAATATAAATAAATCTTACACAATTTAATTTCTATAAACAAACCTAAATAAAACTTAAAAAATGACAATTGGTCATTTTGAATTTAATTTTAATTATTAAATTACTTTAATATTTTATTCTATTGAGTGTTTTGAGATTTTTTATGAGATTTTGAGGTGGATTTATTTTAAGAAATTAATGAGAGTTTTGTAATTTAGAAGAAGTTAAAAGTCTTTTTGTTATGTTGTAAATAGATTTTGAGTGTGTTTTTAAAATTCATTTTATATAAAAAAAAATTTATAATTTGGACTTTTTATATTAAGTATAATAGTGAATCTCCGTAAAATTAATTCTCTCAGATATGTCGACAAACGTAATAGTTTAGGGGTATTGGCAGTTTACCCTTATAAAGCAGTTGGACTATTCCTTTCGACGACTTTGGCTTGCTTAAGCACGAGAAACACAACCACTGAGGGAGAGAAGAGAGACCAGAGATCCAAAATTCTGAGATCCAGACGACGTCGTCCCAGATCCACGCTCCATAATGTCATCTTCAACCTTTAGCGGCGATGAAACGGCGCCGTTCTTCGGCTTCCTCGGCGCTGCTGCAGCCCTCGTCTTCTCATGTAACCAAACGCTAACCTCAAACTCCTTTTTTTGTCTCTTATGTTTTTTGCAGTCTGCGATGTGTTTGGTTCCCGAGAAAGTTTAGATCAACTTTGGATTTGATCAATTGAGTATCTGTTTCATTGGGTTGTCAATTGAACTTCGTTTCTATAATAACAAGCAATTAAGTGAAGTTGTAGTTGTGATTAACTTGGGTTTTCTCGGTTGAATTTTGTGTTATTTATCATTTGGGACCCTGAAAAACAAATCTTTTGCTGGAAATGAGCTAAATTTGGTTATTATTCTACTAGTTGGTTATGATGAGGCCATCATAGTATTTTAATCTTCGTTGTTTATCCACTTCTATGGTCTGCTGATAGGATTTCTAGAGTTGTTAACATGGATCTCTATTAAATTTTGAATCTTTGATGCTAATAATCATAAACCCAATGACTCAAAAAAGGCTAATTGATCTATCTGGCTTGGTTTACAGTTAGTATTAGTGATTCTTGTAAAAATTGTTTGAAGCCCGTTGAAGGTTTATTGTACTTGATGTGAGGGTTTAATTGGTTTTTATAGGTATGGGAGCTGCCTATGGAACGGCAAAGAGTGGTGTTGGTGTGGCATCTATGGGGGTGATGAGGCCTGAGCTGGTGATGAAGTCCATTGTTCCTGTTGTTATGGCTGGAGTTTTGGGTATTTATGGCCTTATTATTGCTGTTATCATTAGTACTGGAATTAACCCTAAGGCCAAGTCATACTATCTTTTTGATGGTTATGCACATCTCTCTTCTGGTCTTGCTTGTGGTCTCGCTGGGCTATCTGCTGGAATGGCAATTGGTATAGTTGGTGATGCTGGTGTAAGGTATGATTTTATGTTCTTTTGAGCGCATAGGCATGCACATAATTGTTTAATGTTGTCTGCTGCTGTTTTGGTATGTTTGTTTTATGGTAATGTGTGACAAAAAAATGTCATTGAAGTGGATGCTATTCAAGTCAGTACTCCTTTTCTTTCTCTTTTAGATTAGTTCTGTCTTTTTTATCAAAGGCAGGATCCAAAACCATAGAAACTGAGATCCATACACAACATGTGTAGGGCAGCCATATTTGTCCTTGAACATTCTTTTGAGTAGTAAACAAAATTGATCTAATTGCAGAAATAGAAATACTGGTCTTTCTCTCTCCACTTCTTTTAAATGTTTCTTACAGAAACTGCTTATTACAGAGTTTGGCCGTCAGCTTTTCTTATTGACCCTCATTTCGAACTGAAATACTTCACCTCTCAATCTAAATCCCGAATTATTGATATGCAAGCCAGAATTTTCTAACAAGACTGAAATCAAGGGAAAACCAATTGGTGTGATAGAGGATCTGCAAAACCATTGTAAATTAGAAAATCCAAAGGAAGATATATCTGCTAGTTTTTATTGCAATATGGAAAGTTAAATTCCTAGACAAGGGTAGTGAGTTAAAGCCATTGGTCTGATAGATTCAAGAACTAAAATTAAAGATATAGGTATTGGTTCTGGCAATGGATAGTGAAAACATTATAAACTATGCAAGGGCCAAGAAATCTTTAAATGTTTGTGGCAATGTGAAAAGTTATAGTCCATGGCAAGGGTAGTTTTCCCCGTTGCCCTGCAAATGAGACAATTGTCAATGTCTGTTTGTCATGTAAAACAAAAAAATCATTCTCAGGAACAACTATTGAAAGTGGTTTTAATTTAGAGCTTGCAATTAGTTTGGTGTTTGGCTATAGCCTATAACTATAATCCACACTGGCCTGATTATTATCCTAGTGTTTCAATTGTATGTGTCGCATTTAAAATGAAAATGTCAGTTGCAGGAACCTTTAATGGTAGTTTACTTTAGAGCTTAGAATTACTATTATTTGGTTAGACAACCAGCATGTTGTTTGACTATAATTTGGCAGCATGGGTCAAAAGGAGTAAAGATGAAAGATTGCCCAGCAAGTTTTTATGGGTTATGTCAGGCTAGTGTTTGTCCCTTGAGAGGGGAATCATTTTAATAATTAGAAGTCATTATCTTGTTGTGCTTGATAGATATTCCCATAATTTCTCCATTGGATACTCTTTACATGATTTGAGATTGATATTGCTCCATGGTCTCTACATCGTATCGGCCTAATTTCAATGAAGTTGTGCACCTCTGGAATAACTGAGCCTCTTTTTGCAGAGCTAATGCACAGCAGCCAAAACTCTTTGTTGGGATGATCCTCATTCTCATCTTTGCTGAAGCACTGGCCCTCTATGGCCTCATTGTTGGCATCATCTTGTCTTCCCGATCAGGCCAATCCAGAGCAGACTAGGAAGTGACCATGCAGTCTAATATTCTTTATTGCTTGTTAATGGCACTTGAAGGGGAAAACTTTTGGCTGATCTCTGGTTGGTCGTTGGGCCGTGCTTGCTGGTTCGTACAGATTATGTTTGTGAAAGTAACGACTGTGCCTTGTAGTAGTAGGATTGAGTTTATCAACAGAATAAAATCTTCCTAAGCAGGTTTTTAAATATGTTTATGTATTCTTCCACCAGAACTATGAACTGCTATATTTTTTATGATTCTAAAACTGGTGCATGTATGATCTTATTCATCCACCAATGATCTATAGGAGGCTGGTTGTGATACATCTCAATTACTTGATAGTCATAATGTGTTCATCGAATTAAGAAAAACAAAATAAACAAAAATAAAAAAGAGATTATAGTGCACGGTTAAAGGCAATAAACCTTTTATTATAAATTCTGGTTTTTCTGTTCTCCTTTTTATTTTGTTGGAGTTGCTTTATTCTATCATGAGGACAGCAATGAAATTGTCTTGAAATTGAAAGTAAAGAAAAAACCTATTACAAAGAAAAATTTAAAAGATATCAGTTGGCATTCATAAGGGTTGTGGAAATTTGGTACAAACATGTAGTAATTGATTGGAAGAAAATAGTTGGCCTTCATAAGGGTTTTAGAATGGTTCTAAAACAAAGCTAGTAGTTGTTGGAACCTACAAGGCCATATTCGAGTAAAATAACTTCTTTGATGGTTGAGTTGTAGTTGGGCTTGTAAAATGCAATTTGGGACATCTCATGTTGAGTAGTAAAGGTGAATCTTACCCTGTCCTTAATGGGTTTATGGGTACAAGTTGTGAGAATGTGAAAATGAAATGTCCCGCGTTGAAAAGTGAAGGGATTTAGTCGGGGCTTATAAGGTGTTGGGCTACTCCCCCAATTGCCAATTGGTTTTGGAGTGGAACCTCAACTTTCTTCGTGATATTAGAGCGGGTTAGCCCACGTAAAAGCCCAACGACCACGAGCTGGCCTAAAGGTACCAAATGTATGTGAAGTTCTTGCAACGTTTGGCTGGTAAATGGTTAGGTCGATGTGTGAGGCTTTTCCTAACTAGAAGTTTGGGAGCTCTTTAGTACATAATACAGTGGCTACGTGACACTTTGCATTTCAATTAATTCAATCATAGGAATCGTCTAGTCTCTAAGTTATTTTATAAAAATTTAAAAAATCCTTTATCGTGAAAGCACTTCTTCTCTTTCCACCCAAAAACTTTCATAAAAACCAACCCCTTTCGGCTAATAAATTAGGCCTCCCCCGCGTCATGTTTGTGGAGAATTTTCCGAATCAAAACGCAGCAGACTGAAAATAAGATCTAGTTCTCATGCATCTTAAAAAGGGCACAGCCTGTGATTTTTTTGTAACTCCCCCCATCTATCAGAAGGGGTGCAATTATTTTCTGCATGACTAGGCAGGCAGGCCCCCCTCCTGGGCTTGTAGCAGTTGAGTAAATGAGTTGATTGGGTTTGACTTGTCTCATTGCATAGGAAAATGGGAGCTTATGTAATTGAATTGAAGTCCAATTATGGCTCATGCAACTATTAACAAATACTTTTTCTTTACTACAAGTGATTTTGAAACGGTTTATACAAATATTCATCGGGTGTTTGGGTGTTTGGGGTTTTAAATTTCTATTTGCATAAATAAATAGAAGAGTTCAATCAACTGAACTACATTCACCGACATATTTATTATACTTTAAATTCATACACGACACACCAACTTTTTTGAAATAAAAAACTTTTCGTCATCACTGATTGGAGAATTGAAAATTTTCTCAAGATGAGATGTAATGATGCATGTGAAGATATGTACTAAGAGATAACAATTTGAATGCACCATCGAATCATGAGGCAGTGGGTAAGTAATTAATAAAATAAGTCGTGGGGTTTCTTGACCTGAAAAAATTAGGTCATTGTTAGACAAAGCTAGTAATTGTCGGAAATTGGAACCCACAGAGGACCATGAACGCATCCAGTAGAATCCTCTCGTCACCTCCTGACAAATTGCAGATAATTATAGGCTGTGTGCCATGTTTTTCAGTAATACTTAGGCTAAATGCACATGCTCCAAATTAATTATTCTTAATTACCAAAGAAAGAAAGACTGAGTTTTTATTATATATATTGTTTGAAAAAAGTTTTTTCTTTGGGTTTAAGAAATACATTACAAATGAGATACCTTGGGATCTTCTGTACATATTAAAGTAAAACCTAATAACTACATCCATAGGAAAATTACTAATTTTTTTTTATAAAAAAATTTGTTGCAATGCACACTACAAGAAAATAACAGTATTAGTTGCTGACATCCGCGACACAAATGAGATGGCTAAAAACACTATTACTGCCTAATAGTATAATGAGCATCATGGGTATGTGATATGATAAATTTTCACCCTCTAAAATACAACTATTCATGTATTTTTAGGACTCAAATTGTTTTTTCCTCCAACTTTTGCATACTCATAATTTGAGTCTGCAATTTTATTTAAATTGTTTAAAAATGGTTAACTTTTTTCTTCTTTTTTTGTCATTAATTTTTCTTAACATTATTTTTGTTTCAACATTCATAATTTAATTTTATGTAAAAAAATCCAAAATTCAAAACATAATATAATTTCACTTTTAAGTACCCAAAAAAAGAAGCACATCAACTTTAAATAAAAAATTCCCGCAAAACAGAGCAACTTTAAGTTGCAAGTTTAATAAATAAATAAAATGAAAGAAACAACAGCTACAAATGGTGAGCTACCACTTGTCATGCTGAAGCAAAGAGAGAGCAGCAACTTTCTGCCACGCAGGGCTTGGTCCATTTTTCCTCTTCACGTGGGCTGTGCGGCATGAGTTGGGGTCCACAAAAAATTTCCAGTTCAGGCAAAACCCAGACTGGAATTTCGCCGAATTCCACCAATCTCAAATTTCCACCCCTTAAAATACACAGGTAGGTTAGAGATGGATTTTGAATTCAAAACTCAAAATTTAAGTTTCCACCCCTTAGGTTGGAGATGGCCTAATAGTGTTTTTAGTCACCTTATCATGTGTCACGAATGTAAGTGATTATTATTTTTTAGTACAAGCGATAGTCTAAACTACAAGAGAAGGTGATTTCTCTCTCTCTCTCACACACACACACACTACCAAAGTGCAATAGGAATTCAAATATAAAACCACTAGTATGAAAATCAATGTCCTTTTTCACCAAGCTCAACTAGACCCTGTTGACTACGTGCCATGCTAATCCCAATGTTTAATTAGTAATAGCAAATACAAGGCTATGACCAAATTAGCTGTTTTACCACAAATCTTTTTATCCAAATTACATCATATGTGTATCATTGCACATGTATACATACATACATATGTATATATATATATATATATATATATCATATATTCCAATCAACCCTAGTTAGCCAGGCCACATATCTTTGCTTAAAATGCAAATTAGGTCACCATATGTGTCAAATTTCTCGAATTCACCCATATCTCTTTCCTACAAGTTTCTTATCTCCTTTTTGCAAAGGCAATCAACCCGTTGATAGGCTAGGCCACATCTCTCTCCTCTTAAAACGTAAAACTAGTTAGGTCACGATGCACAATTTCTCAACATGTTTGCCGCCGTATCTCTTTTTCTTACTTTCTCCTTCTTTCACAAACCGATCACGCAGCCCCACCTTGCTGCTTTACAATTGTTTAGCAACTCAAACCCTTTTTATGGCAACCAAGCAATCAACATTGAAGGCGATACATCATTCATGATAGAGTTGCATACGACAACAACTTTGACAAAAAAAATGGCTCGGTGGACGGTGGATGGATCTGAGAAGATAACCCTACGCAACATTGCATTACATATTTAGGTGCTCGATCAATGAACGTCTACATGTTGTGTTCATTTTTTAGGGTTTAGATTCTAGAAAATATACGTGCAATGTGCTTTATGATCCAAGATCTTACGTGGGAAACCATGTTTCTCTGTCCTCCTGACCAAAACATGCATTTTATATGAATTGTTCTTTTCTGGAGTCTGATAAGGTGCACTGCTCACGTCCTTCAAATAATGGCCTAATTTCCATTCCTCTCTCATGTCTTTTTTTTCCTTTTTTTTTGGGATATAGGGTTTGCCCAACTTTCTTTAATTTTATCCCTTATGTGGTCCAATTGCAATTTTTTTTTCTCTCTTTTGATATGACTATATATATGTATGTGGTCCAAATTGAAAGAAGCAATTCATTGCACAAAAACTAACATACGAATTGTACATAGAATATGTTCTTTTGTCATTCATATTACATTAGTAAACGAGCAATTTGAACCATACACTCAAATAAAAATCTACATTATATATATAGAAACGTTGCATATATCGTAACGTAACGAATTGTATGCATGGTACAAGAATATCTACCTAATTTGTCATAGAATTTAAATATGAGGAAAGGAATTGTTGAATTGTCATTTTTACCATTAATCAAGCTTACGACATGAAGGTCTATAAAATTCTATTTTAAAAAGGTGGATATCATATGGACATTTGCTGATGAATTGAAGCAGGAATCAAATAAGAATCTAGACCACCCTAACCTTAGCTTTTTTGGATTTGTGAATTAAGAATGGGGCAACCATACATTTGAGAGAGAGAGAGATAGCACTTTTTTTCTTTTATATTATTGTTTCTTTGTCGTGCGAGCAAAATGAATAATATTTATATATATCTGAACTAAAACTTCAAATTAGGAAAAGCGTAGAGATGATGGGTGGTAGTGACTCAATTTGCCACTTCAAAAGCTCTTCTTCTATATGATGGGTGTCAAAATCTTGTCCAAACAATTTGATACTTTGGGTCACCCCCAACATATAATAAACAATATCGGATCAACTTCCAGAGACCTTAAGGTTGCCACCGCATAGCAACTGTGGCTGTTGACCTTTTTTTGGCGCCCCCCACCGCCAAATTAAGTGGCTCATGCCACC